AGTTTTCGCTGCCGCCGCTCTGTCTGTGGCTCTTGCCCCGGGCCGGGGCGAGTCCTCCCCGGCTCGCTGAGGTTTGCGCTCCTAAACGCGATGTTTTTCCTGCTGCGGCTCTGTCCCCTCTTCAGAGGTCTGCGGACTTGCACGTGGCTGTGCCTTTCCGCCCTTAGCAAGCGGTTCACGCGAGGGCTGCTCCCAGGGTTGTTTTTTCCGGAGGGCTGTTTCCTATGTGTTTCCAGCTGTATGTGACCGCATTTGTAATCATATTTCCTTTAGTCATCTGTTTCTATCAGCTTTTCCTCAGAAGTGATCTTTTGCGAGCCTTCTGGCAAACTCTCTTGCGCTGCTGTGACTGTTTTTCTGGCGTGTCGTGAAACGCAGCGTGGCCCTTCGGAGCGTTGCCCCACCTGAGCTCTGGCCAGCCGCACACGCAGACAGTTGAGCGCCCCGTGCTCTGTGCTTGCTTCTCTGTGAATCTTTTGAGTTTTATAAGCTGCTAGGTCAGCTTGTGTCATAACAACTGAAGATGGTTTTTGGAGCAGAACCAGGCCCTTCTCTTCCAAAGTCATAGTGGAGGTTACAATTGTGTAGACTGGTAACTGGCACAAGTTAATCTCTTGTGTGTTTGTGGTGGTTCTTCTCAATTTTAGTAGATGTTTTAGTAGTGGCATAATGTTCTGGAGTTTTTTATTTGTATTTTTTTTGTTTTTCTTCCTAGATCATTTAATCCATTCACAATTTAATTGACCAGTATTTTGAATAAGAGGAAAGAAAATGATGTCAAGACAGGCCTTTCTCTGCAGTTTGGGATCTCTGTATTTGTCCCTTCTGTTTGTGTTTCTTCTAATGGATGTTTATGCAAGGCCTGCAAACAACTCTATCCTTAAAGAAAAGGTAGTTGACAGTAAAGATGAGAATGAGATCTTGCCCCCAGATCACTTGAATGGGGTCAAAATGGAGATGGATGGCCATCTTAACAAAGAATTTCATCAAGAAGTTTTTCTAGGAAAAGAGATGGAAGAGTTTGAGGAAGATTCTGAACCCAGAAAAAATAGGAAGAAGCTCATGGTCATCTTTTCAAAGTAAGTTATGTACGTTGTCAAGGAAAATGCAGCCTTTTTCTCTAAGCTTCAGAGCAAAATTTGTGAAATGCTTTGTAATATCTGAAAATTGTAATGATGGGGAGGAAGCATCATACTGTAAGCACTGCATTCACATTATTAAGGTACAAACATGCCTATAGATATAAACTATTCTCAGGAGTGAAAATATGTGTGTTTGTTTGAGGGTCACAATCAGTTTTCAGGATTGGTGCTGTGATCTTCTGGTAAAATTTATAACAGCAGCTTATTTTCTATAAGAAAATACTTCATTAGCTTCTTAAAGTATGAAAATTAAAAGATATATTTCTTTTTTCTAGCTAAAAGAATACCCACATTTGCATCTTAGATCCATGAATTAGTAAGAAAGGACTTCCTTAGTGGTAGGATGCCTATGCAATAAACTGGGAAAGTGGGATTTTCTTCCAGTTCCAGTATGTCCTGTCGCTTTGCTGCGAGTTTGGTTTCAACTGATGATCCAAGCTTCTTATTTGTTGTTTGGGCTTATATACTGTTTGGATTTTGGTATTTTAGGTTTTGTCGCTATTGTGACTTCTGCAACTAACAGCAGAGGGAAGACACTAGTGAAGCCAGAAGGGGGAAAAAGGGGAAGACGCACAGTAGATAAGTGTGGTGAACAAATTCATAGTTGCATTTTTCTGTTCATGAAACTTCCTAGTAGATATCAAGTGTCTAAAACCAAGTGTCTAGAAATACATAACATTAAAAACAATTAGGCCTAACAGCGTATACCAAGAATTCAGGAATTGAAATGGCAACTTACTTTCTTCATGAGTTAAGACCTGTTGTTAACCAGGTGTTTACCTCCCCCGAATTTAGAAAAAGAAGCATCGTGAGAATAGAAGGGTTCACTTTTGATTTGATAGCCTTTTTTGAAAACTCCATAGAGCTGTTTACTTGATATAAAAATACAATCTTTACTTTTAGATATTAAAATACTTTTTCCATTTACCCTTTTTGTCCTAGAAAGGGTTTGTATCAGCTAATAATCTCTCTATAAGCACATGTTTGGAGTTCAGTTAATAGAATGAAATGGAAATCCCTATCGGTATGTTCTTCCAGACACTAGAGGGCAGAGTTGACTTTATTTCTGTTTTTGCAATTGAGGATTAATTTTGTTAGAACAACCTGGATTATATAGGTGCTGTTAATGCTGACTGTGATGTGAGGGTGTTCATTTACCTGAGATGAAATGAGAAGGCTTAACAAAAGTTTTTTCTTGGTTTTTTTTTTTTTTTGCAAACTTTTCATTAACAGAGTAAAAATATCAATAATAACACAGACTTTTTTTCCTCATGTGCTCCTGAGTAAAGCAAATAGGCAAACCAGAGTGCCTTTTCCATTCAGAGTAAATCCTTTGTGGCTATTCCGATCAGTCTCTTTAGTGGTAGTTTGAGTGTGTATGCAAATACAAATTTTAAGTAAACTTTCAATTTCTTTATTGCCATATGTTTATTGGAAACATGCAGCTCATGTTTAGTAATTTATCATTCATAAATTGCAGGCTCCATTCACTTCTACCTGTTTGTTATGAAAGAGGTTTCTTTAGGAAGCTTAAACATTCAAGACCAGCTTCACTCAGATACTTCCTTCAAACTTCATTCCCTCAGATGATCAGATTAGACATGTAGAAGTACATTCTGGGGAATCTAGTTGCATTCCAGACTTACCTTTAAAGGTTGAATAAGAGAGAAATATGGTGGACTTCTATGAAAAGGTAGTACGTTGTAGGCTCCCAAATCCTGTGGAAATATTTTCTTTGAATATGTAAAGAAAATCCTATGCTATGTTTTTAATTAGTGAAAACTGATATTCTAGAGCATGCCTATATGATATAAATGTATATGATATCACTGTCTCCCATAACATCCTCATAGGTAAGCCCAGGAAGTGTGAGTTAGATGAGTGGACAGTGAGGTGGATTGAGAAGTGGCTGGATGGCAGAGCTCAGAGGGCTGTGGTCAGTGGCACAGTCTAGTTGAAGGCCTGTAGCAGTGTCCCCCAGGGGTCAGTACTGGATCCGGTCTTGTTCAGCGTGTTCATCAATGACCTGGAGGAAGGGACAGAGTGCACCCTCAGCAGGTTTGCTGATGATACAAAACTGGGAGGAGTGGCTGCACCAGAGGGCTGTGCTGCTATTCAGAGAGACTTGACAGGCTGGAGAGTTGGATGGAGAGGAATCTCATGAAGTTGACAAAGGCAAGTGCAGGGTCCTGCACCTGGGGAGGAGTAATCCCCTGCACCAGTACAGGTTGGGGGGTGATCTACTGGAAAGTAGCTCTGCAGAGAAGGACCTGGGAGTCTTGGTGGACAGCAAGTTAACCATGAGCCAGCAAGGTGCTCTTGTGGCCAAGAAGGCCAGCGGGATCCTGGGGTGCACGAGGCAGAGTGTTGCCAGCAGGTGGAGGGAGATGATCCTCCCCCTCTCCTCAGCCCTGGTGAGGCCTCACCTGGAGTACTGTGTCCCGTTCTGGGCTCCCCAGGACAAGAGAGACATGGCACTCCTGGAGAGAGTCCAGCGGAGGGCTACCAAGATGATGAGGGGCCTGGAGCATCTCTCCTATGAAGAAAGGCTGAGGGAGCTGGGCCTGTTGAGCCTGGAGAAGAGAAGACTGAGGGGGGATCTCATCAATGTATACAAATATCTGAAGGGAGGGTATCAAGAGGATGGGGCCAGACTCTTCTCCGTGGTGCCCAGTGACAGGACGAGAGGCAACGGGCAGAAACTGAAACACAGGGAGTTCCATCTGAATAGGAGGAAAAGTTGCTTTGCTGTGAGGGTGACTGAGCACTGGCACAGGTTGCCCAGAGGGGTAGTGGAGTCTCCTTCGCTGGAGATGTTCAGAACCCGCTTGGACGTGATCCTGAGCAACGGGCTCTAGAGGACCCTGCTTGAGCAGGGGGGTTGGACTAGATGACTTCCAGAGGTCCCTTCCAACCTCAACCATTCTGTGATTCAGTAATAATGAAGAGTTAGTGGAAATATGTTCAGTAGTCCATCGTGAATAAGATAATTATGTAAGGAAATATGGACAATTGTTTGCTTCTTCCTCTTTTCCTCCCCCCACCCCAAATAGCCTTGATGCAGGGATATATGTTTTTTTTCATAAATTTGTAAATATTTTCTTCTCAAAAGCAGAAGTGCTGTTGATGGGCATTGGAATAATTTCAGCTCATATCATACAGTGGGTGCCTGCTAATTCATGAAAGTCTGGGTCATCAGAGACTTTTTTTATGAAGTGTGATATCAAAACAAAGGGTCTACTGTCATGACCTTGAGTAGCAATGGCCTGATTCAAATTAGAAAGATAACAAGCATCACATTTATCTCATTCTAGTGAACATGTGATTTAAATGTAAAATACAGCTTGGAAGTAATAAGTTGGATGGCCTTGATCTAAAGAAACTTAAATGTTGAGGGGAGAATGCTTTGCTATCCCTTCTCATTTTCAGTAGTATCTATTCCATATCAAACCTCATGTTTGTTCACAGGCTAAATTCAACGTATACAAGTAGAATGCTACCATTGTACTGTTGTGCTGTAGATTACAGAAAAGCTGCTGATACTGAGGCAGTGCTTTTATATGTGCAAATATGTGATACAGTATTTAAAAATCCTAATACTGCTCTTCCTAATGCAGCTAAGCGTTTTAGAAGATTAGATGCTTGGGTCATTTTTTGACTTAGGCTTTTAACATTTAGTTGACATTTAAAGGTAAATCACATACTTGAGTTTCAGTGATAACATTTCAGTAGTGTTAAGATAGTGATGTACGCAGTCAAGCTGATGTGTTTTTTTCTTAAAAACTGAACATGAGCGGTTTTGTTATAGTTTACATAGAATCTCGCTTTTTAAATTTCAGTGATGTCTTCTAAGTTTTAAGTATTGTTCTATCTTACATACCTAATGATATATTCAGAAAAACTTTAAAATCCATGGTGGCTTCTGTATTTGTTCAACCGTAACTTTTATATTAACTTCTCTTTAATGAAATAAGCTTTAAGACAGCCTGCTGTCCCAGCAGTTCATTTTCTTGATAAAGAAATCCTGGTAGTATGTTAAGGCAAAAAGCGGATCGTCAGACCAGACGTTTACTGACAATTTTGCCAATGAGGCAAAAAAAAGTGTTTCTGTTGCTCAGTAGCAATGAGTACAATAACATATTTTGTCAAACCGAAGTGAGCCTGATATCTCTGGGAACTAATGGAGAACAAATGTATGTGCAGAAGTGTTTCTAATTCTTAAAACTGCACATTTCAATCAGCTGTAAGGTGTGTTTAGCAGAGATCAAAGGATAATAGAAAAAACGATTTCCCCCACGTCCCCCCACTTACATATCCTGCAGTCAAAGTATTAAATAGTTTTGAAAGCCAAGAATATTCATGTCATTGCTTTTAATGGTCACAACAGCTGTGATTTGATCTTGGCAGACCCAGGGAAGCAACTCATCAGTACACTTTGGAAGTCTTGAAAAATAAAGGTAAAAAGGACCTAGCAAGGTATATTGAGAAGTTAATGATTTGGGAGAGTATTTGAAAAGAAGTTTTTCAAAGTAGTAAAAGTCTGTAGCTGTTGACAGTTGACAATTTTGAACCATTAAGAAATGAGCATGAGACTAATATGCCATGAGCTATGTATTTGTAGTTTCTTCTACTTTAAAGACATACTCAAAAAAGTAATATTGAAATGAGTTACTTCACAATAAAGTGAAGTATGGTTAAATGTTTTTTCAAGGAACAGTTACCTGGGTGTTGTTTCTGACTTGAGAAAGGTGGACTTGAAACGGAAGGGAACTTCCCATCTGGCAGTTCATGCACGCTTTCCTGTTGTAAGCCCAGAGGCTATTTCATAGTTAAAGTAAATATAGAAGACTGAATAATTTACTAGCTTGCTGCTTGCTTACTCTTTAGGTGAGAGAATGTAGGACTTCTCAGAGACAGTTATAATGTCCTTTTTTTCCTGTGACAACCTATGTTTGTTATTGTTGGGTAAAGTAATTCATTTAGGTTCTACAGGTATTCCCCAAATCAAAATCTTTTCTGCTGTTCTTCCACAGAGTGGATATAAATAATGATAAAAAGATAAGTGCTAAAGAGATGCAGCGCTGGATCATGGAAAAAACTGATGAACACTTCCAGGAAGCTGTGGAAGAGAATAAAATGCACTTCCGAGCTGTGGACCCTGATGGTGATGGTAAGATTAAGAATTTCTCAGTCTCCCGATGACATCTCAGGTCAGTTGCTAGCGGCCGAAGTGACTGGCTACTCTTCAGATGTGCTGTGATGAATCCTAGTTCCTTTGGACTGCTTGTAATCCTTTGCGTTTCAACAGTTCTGATCCATACAGAAGACAACAGAGCAAAGAAATAATGTGCTCTAGACAGCATTATAGTTCTGATTGCTGCATTATTTCACTCAGACACAGGAAATCTTAAGATCTCCAGGGATGGGATGGTGAGGACCATGACTCAGTAGATTATTTTCACAAGTCCTGTCTACTCTAAGGAAACATGAAGTGAATCCAGTGATAGTTGTCATCTTGCTGTTGAGAAAAGTTTAGTGTGACGGCTACAGTGCTGAACTCATTAAGAAATGAGACCAAAAGTGAAGCATTTTAAAATACTGTGTAATGTCTGAGATATGGCTCTCTCTTACAGGCCATGTGTCCTGGGATGAATATAAAGTTAAGTTTTTGGCAAGTAAGGGCTTTAATGAAAAAGAAATAGTAGAGAAGATCAGAAACAATGAAGAGCTAAAAATAGATGAAGAAAGTAAGTACAAACTGTTGGTGGGTGTGTGTTTTGCTTTCTTAAAATGTAAATGTCAAAACTGTTTGTATTGTGAGATGAATGTCTTAGCTGCTCTTCAGCCTCTAACGAGTCCGAGGAGTAAAACACTAGATTTCTCTGGAACTCGGATCTGTGTTCCCAAACGCTCTTGATACAAATGTTTACCACTAAAAATGGTAGCTGCTTATTTCTTACTGCCTGTTTCAATAGTTTCCAGTTAGTTATGTTTAGCAGTCTGCTGAACGTATCAGACCTGTGTTATCTGTGGCCCATTGTCAACTGGGGTACCAGGTCCCCACCTTACCCCAAATGAAAGGGAGATGGCTATACGCTATTCCCCTCCTAAAACTAAGGAGGTGTACATATAAGCTACCAAACTGTATTGTGTAAGTAGGCGTGTGCTTAAGTATTGCAAAGCATGCTAGAAATTAATAGCAGAAGTTTGCCGAACGATTGTTTCATGTTTCACAAAAGTTCTCTGTTGAGAGAGAGAGAGAGATTTAGGTTAGCAAGACTGATCATTTCTTTCTTATCACTTCTGAAACTCTCATTTGAATTTGACTTGTTCTAAATGTGGCAACTCTTCAAGGAGTAGTTTTTTCCCCCTGTCTGAAAGTATTTAAATTTACTGTTAGGCTATGGCTTGATGTTTTACTTTTCCTTGCAGGAATTAGTCATTTAAAAGTGAGTTATGTTATATTTTCCATTTATAAAAAAGCAACTAAAATGCAAATGGGCCTTTGAATTTCATGGCAGGGAAAATACCTGTGCAGCATGTTCTATGGCATTGTGGTTAGCTACCGTTTACAGGAATGCTCATCAGATAAAAGATTTGCTGAATAAGGGAAGCGTACACAATCATTTTTCTACCTAGGTAACGAGCATTGTTTGGGAAAATCAAATTGGTTATCTACCACTTCCTGAGGAGGATAGGCAAAATTATTTTCAAACTTCACTGCAGTGTAAAAGCTTTTTTTAAGTTTGTATAAAATAACTCAACGTGTGGATCTTTAGACGTATGTTCTGGGTCTTAGGCAAAAGTTGCTGCTGACCTCTAGCACAGAACAGTTTGGATGCCGTGTCAAAACTGGGGACGCAGCTGTAGTTATAAATAAGTTCTCAGATAGCTACAGTTTCAGCTGATGACTGACAGTTGAGTTCCATTTTAGACTGAAGAAGAAAGGTAGGAGGACGAAGGTTTATTTGTGACTTCTGAACATCTGGGGTTGGCAACACGGGAAAAGCTTGAGCAAGTCACTTGATTGTCCTGTATTTACTAGTGCCTTTGAAATAATGAGTACTTTCCATTTACAAATTTGTGTTAGGATGCTTATTAAGACTGAAGAATTTCCTTACTCTTCACAAAAAAGCATTCACTGAAGACTTAACTTTTAATTGTAAATTCAAAAATGTAAATGCTACCACTTGTTACTTTTCTTTCTTTTTTCTTTTTTTTTCTTCCCCCCCCTCTGGTAGCTCATCAACTCATGCCAGAGCTACTCAAGACAAATTACTTGGAAAAACAATTTTTTTCTTTTAATTCAAAAGTTTTTGATCTTAATCTTTAATCTTAACACCTGACTGGCTCTTCAAGAGCATTTTTAGCACTTGTGAAATGCTTCAGACTTGTATTTGTCAGTGTGTTTTGGGGATAGCAGGGTGTGCCACAGACTGTATTTTTTCCAGTGTGTCATTTAGAAAATGCCCACACTAGAAAAATAATACTTTATACAGGTATCTCTTTCCTGTTTGGTTATGCTCAGGACTACTAGGTGCATGTAATATTCATGCTGTGTGTTGCAGGTTCCGCCCCCCTGGTCAGTGGCATACACTCGGCGGAAACTCTTGTTCAAATAATGATTTTTTTTCAATTGAGTTTAGGAAAAATTCACTTAAAAGTGCTTGTCAACATGATGTTAGGTGAAATCAATGAAGCAGATTAAAGTGCGTTCTGGTTCTGTTATGGCTATTTGTACATGTGTGGTTCAACTTGCATTTGTTCCTTGCAGCAAAAATATTTCCCTTCATTAAATTATAGTGATAACTAAAACATTTGCAGGATTTAAGTCTAAGTTAAATTACTTTCTGATACAGAATGGTTAAAGAGGAATAAGTACTTGTATCATTAAGTAAATGGAAAACTAAATGCATTTCTTGGTGCTTAGCATCCCCACTTAATGTTTTCAAACTTTTTTTTTTCCAGAGCCACTCTTAAATCTCTCATAGTTCTAAAAAATGACATTTTCTGCCAGAAATGCTGGCTACTCTTTCTGAGTCTAAGAACATAAGTAGTCTCTGGGTAGGAGATTCTTTGAATCCTTTGACACGGTAAAGGAAAGCAGGAGGAGCAGGGGCAGGATAAAAGTATTTTCACAGCTTTCCTAATGCCAAACTTTATGGCTCTAGCAGTTTTACCTCTTCAGTGAGAAGCTTTGTAAGGAACAGATATCTATGAGATGTATTCGTGATTACTGTAAAAATTAGATTTAATTTTTAGTTAAGTTTAATATTCTTACGCTTAATTCATGTATGTAGTTTTGTGGAGGGTAAAGGTGCTAACTGGAATTGCAGTATGGTGGGGGGAAAAAAAACCTTTCTACTTTACAAGTGTTTTGCACACATAGTTCTATCATCGCTTTGTGGTAGATCACTATCATTTTGTCAACTATTTTCAAATCCTTTGAGCTTGAACACACCTTAAAGCACTTCAGAGAAACGATACAACTGGTTTTAGTTTAGATAGTGTATTAAGAAACGCCAGACTGAAGTAACAAAGTTGGGCTGTGTAATGCTGGAGTAGTAAAACATGCCCCTTTGATCATGCTTGGAACTGCAATGTTAAGCATATTTTCTGATTTGTGGTAGACTTAAAGGTTTATCCTGCTCTAAAGCACTTTGTAAGGCACAAAGCAGTAAAACAATACTGCTTCACAGGTCAGAAGTATCTTCCTAGATCTATCAGTAGTTATATGGTTTGGTTTTAGAAGAAAGCATGCCAAATGTTATAGGCTTGTTATTCTATCTTTGTTATTATTTGGGTGGGAAAGGAATTGTTTGACATCATCTTCCTTTCTTGAAAGTATTAACTAGGTTGTTGATCTTGAAATTGTGAGAGAGACGGAGATGTTGGATTTGAAGAATGTTTTGATGACTTAGAGGCACAGAAATGGTTTTAAGTAGAAAACTGATATTTTTTCAGAAGAAAGGTACTACTGGAAATCAGGAAGGTGAATAATTTCTGTTGGTAGTTGCCTCTAAAATATCAAAATAAGAAAGGAGGACTTGCACTTTTGTGCAAGTACTGCACAAAGTTAAATTATCTATATCTACTACCTCAAGCAGCTAAGTTCCCCCTCCCCCCCCCAATACTTTGCATTTCTTGCATTGAAGTTTTGATGCAGGTACAGCTAAATCTTTATTTTCATCTCTTAACCAAACCTCTGAACTGGAATTAAAGGGTCTTTTCCTAATTGCGCTTTGTTTCCCTTCATCACCCCCCCCATCCCCTGTTGAACTGTAAAATAGCTTTAATGAAGGATAATCTGTGAACCAGACAGTTGAATAACAGGCAAGGTATATCTTAAGAACTACAAATAGATTACAAATAATGGTTTTAATCTTTCTTACTCTTTTAGCACAGGAAGTCTTAGATAACCTGAAGGATCGGTGGTACCAAGCTGACAACCCACCTCCTGATCTGTTGTTGAATGAGGAAGAATTCTTGTCCTTTCTTCATCCAGAGCATAGTAGGGGAATGCTGAAATTTATGGTGAAAGAGATCATCCGAGATCTGGGTATGCCATTTTAAAACAAGTTTTTTTTGGGAGTTACTTAAACGGTTTTGTTGGGTAACAACAAGACTTCAAAAAATGTGTAAGGAAAATACAGTGTTAGCACAGACGCTGACGTTACATGGGATTTTCTGTGCGTTTCTCAAGGCTAAGTTTAACCTCTCTTTGTTAAAGAACAACACAACCTTATATGTTACAAAGATATTCTGAGTACTTTATTCAAGGAAGATCAGCTGACACTGCATCACAGTCAGGTGCTGCTGCACTGCATGGTCACTGTAGCAATAGCAGAAAGAGTTTGATGGATATTAAAATATTCTAGAATATATTGATACGAATGTTTTGTGAGGAGGTGATTAATTGCTTTGTACTTTTCCAGTACAGCAATCATGTAAGGGTTGTGACGTGCAGGCATGAAAGTGGAAATAAATGGTTGAGACTTCTAAGATTTTTTTTTGTTTTTATTTAATTCATAAGTATTGGTACAAGTGAGTTTTTCTGTTGACTCAATAGTTAAGCATATTTGAAATTGCTAGAACACTTAGATTAAAAAAAATGAATTTCTACTTTGCTAATAGTTGAGTAAATAAATATGAAAAGTGTCCAGTGATGCCTTAAGCACATGATGTGCAAACAAAACACCTCCAGTACACAGGCTTTTATGAGGGTTAATATTATTAGAATGGTAATTTAAGGGGAGACTGGATACAGCTGTAACAGACTTTCTAGCGCACTGGATTGTTCAAAACAAAAACACACTACCAGCCTGCCAACTGGCGTATCTTTCAGGCCCATTAGAAGAGAATTCTTTGTATTTAGTGTATTGATGAGTGCATGTTTTTTAGCCTTCTAAAACACTATGTGGACATAATGCAGAGAGTTTTCTGCTACCCACATAGGTATAAATGGTAGTTGTTATTCTATGCTAGAGTCAGGATTGTGAACTGCTGAAGCCAGGCAGGCTGTACTAATAGCATCTTTGACGTGAAGGAGTTTTTCATTTTTAATGAACTTTAAGTAAATGCTTTTCAGTTCAGTTACAATGTACTTCTGTTGTAGATCAAGATGGAGATAAGAAACTAACTCTTTCAGAGTTCATTTCATTACCTGTCGGTACTGTAGAGAATCAGCAAGCTCAAGATATTGATGATGATTGGGTAAAAGACAGAAAGAAGGAATTTGAAGAGGTCATTGATGCTAACCATGATGGTATTGTCACAATGGAAGAGCTGGAGGTAAGTTTCCTTTAACTAATTATTTCTAGTGTTTGTAAAGATGGTTTACAAATACAGGATTGAGACTGCTTTAGAAAATTTCAAGTGCAGAAATATTTGAATTAACAGTACAACTTGTTTACTTTAAGGACCCTTGGGTTATAGTATTCTTCTGTAGTGGTTGTAGGTAGGTAGGATGATGTAATCTTTTTTTCTTAAAAGAGGAGGGGGAGTTTTCCTAGTATAACTATTATTCATAGTTATGCTTTTAGGGTTTTTTTGGTCATATAGACGCTGTTATGGATACATAAGGCATAAAAGAAAGACACAGACTTCACCGAGTGTTACAATTAATTGGGCAATGAGTCCTACTTTCCGTTACAAAAGAAGTAACTAGCATTTTATATATTCATTTAAAAACATAAAAATAAAACCAACAAACCCTGGCACCCTACTAGCCTAGAAAATAACAGATGTCTTGTCTTTCAGAGTGTTTTTCTTTTTTTTTTTAAAAGACAAATTATATTTTCAAGTGTGAGTACTAGTTTATGGCCCTTTCGGACTTCTGTGTGCAGAAGTAAGACTTTTTCTAATAAACTTATCTACAGAAGAGTCTACCAACCAAGCAATTGTTTGTAGCCCTATAGTTGTGGCAGTTCTGTGGCAAGTGGAAGAGGTTTTTGGCTCATTTCTAGTGCTCTTTTTGGAATGTAAGAATATGCTTTGACTACCAGCATTCAGACTGCAGCATAGGCAGTGTGAAAGGATAAGCTGTTTTTAAGAAAGCCCTCTACCTGAGACAAGATGAATGTCGTCTTAAAGTTCCTAACCTTATTAGTATGCATCTATGTGAGTATGAGAGGTGGTAATTAGCATGGATTTATAAGCAGTTATGCTCAGACATAGAGAATGTTAATAGGATTTTGACTGATAAAACAGCTATTTTTAGGATAATTTTATCTCAAGTCTTTCAGTAAGTTATATTTATGCATATATATGTGTGTGTGTGTGTGTGTTATTCTAATTGTAATCTATTACAGAATAGCTTTTTTCATATTTCATGTGAAGAAAGTGAAAGTAAAAATAATCTCTAAGGAATCTTCCATATCATGAACTAAAATGCACTTTTTGAAAGCTTTTAGAGTTATTTCAAGGTAGATGAAAGAAATGTTTCATTTCAGAGACTTCTTACCTCCCTAAATCTGTTTGCCAGGTGGTTTAAAATGGAACCAGAATGTTCCATATTGAACATACTCTAAAAAGATTACCTCCTTAAACAAGAAAAATCAACTCGTACAGAGGAATAGCATGCAACTTTAAATATTTAGAGCCGATATTTCTTGACAAGAACCACTGGATTTGCTAGCGGGTTTAGTTTGCAACCAAAATGTTAAAAATACAGTTGTGTTAGGTACTGACGTGAGCTGAGAAAATCGGGGTTTGTGTTAGAACAGATGAGGAAGCTGTGAATGGAAAAATAGCTAGGAGAAAGATGTAAGCCTGTTAAAGATGTGCTATTGCCCTCTTCTATGACTTATGTTTATTTTGGGGTTGCTTATGTCTTAATGCCTAAAGCTTACATAGAGCTGGGGTTCGTTATTCTGGTTTGGGGAAATAAGTATTTAGTGAGTAAAAATGATTGATTGTCTTATTTGTTTTAGGAATATATGGATCCTATGAATGAATACAATGCCCTAAATGAAGCGAAGCAAATGATAGCAGTAGCAGATGAAAATCAAAACCATCACTTAGAGCTGGAGGAGATCCTGAAATATAGTGAATACTTCACTGGCAGCAAACTTATGGACTATGCACGTAATGTCCATGAGGAGTTCTGACCATGCTCACTTTTTCAGAGCTCTGAAGCACCTTCTTGCTTTCCCAAAAGAACCCACCAAAAAACAAAAACAAAACAAAAAAGTTACCTTGCTGCTATCTGTGTTGTATGCATACAGTGTATTATTCTAGACTAAAAAAGCTCCGTCCACGTAGAAGAACTACAGCTCTATTGCCTTCAGTATGAAGAGAAGCAGAGGTGGGGGGGAAGTTCAAAAATAATAATGCAGATTCTGGACTATATCAGCTCACCCCATTTTGTACCATTGATCCAGCTGAATTTTCAGCTGCTTCTGGCTACTCATGTTTAGCGGAGGCATCTTTAAATATTTAATTTTTTTTTTGTTACCTTCATAGCTGCTGATCCATGGAAATCACAAATAACATTAAAAGATGTTGGCTTTTTTAAAGGGCTTGTGGTTCAAATCCATATGTTCTGACCTCATGTAAAAAATCCATTGATAGACTGATTGAAAAACTTCTCTTTTGCTCAGCAAAATATCCCTTTGTATTTTGGGTGCAGTTTATATCCACTTCAATATTTCTTAGTTTAAAAAAAAAAAATCAGTAAATTGTATCAGGATGCTGCTCTCTGGGCTGTTCTTGCTCTGTGTGGTTTTTACAGTCATAGTCAGCTCTTTTCTCACTATTCTAACAGTCTGTGTAGTCAGCACACGTTCTTAATGTTATATGTACTGAGTATCAATGAACTTCTCGGCTGATGTCATTACTTGTGTCTCTAGACTTCAGTTCTTCATGGACTTGACTTTAGGAATGTGAAACCTGTGTTAGCTTGTTAAAGGCATTAGCTCTAGTGTTACTCTCTCATAGTTGTTTCCAGTAACTGTTATTAGAACTACTTAGGAAGAGGAGATGATAGCCATATTCCTGAGACGGTTCGTTCGTTTACAATAATTTGGCTCATCTTCCAGTGTTCTTCTCAAGATATCTCAATCTAGCTCTATATTGTTGGAGACTTAATACAAGTCTCCCTCTATCACTGGACTACCTTTGGGAGCTGGGGGAAGGAACTTGCTTTAAATGTTACAGAGAACCTCTTCTGCGTCTGAGTTAAAAAGAAAATTTGTTTATGGTGTGACTGGTTTTTTGTTTGCATCTGCACTGTGATTGTGGGAGACTAAGATTGCTTAGGTCTTTTTTTTTTTTTTTTTTTTTAAAAAAAAACAACCCAGAAATGAAACACAAAGAGGAAGGTTTCTTTGTGGACTTAGATGCTGCATTAAGCAAATGGGATTCATCTTCTAGGATTATGATTTCTACTAGTTTTAACAATGAATTTCAGTTAAGTAGAGTTGCTCGTTTCTCTGCAAGTTAACGATGCTGATGAACTCATGAATGCTAAGACTGGGGGAAAATACTGGCTTTGCTTTTGCACTGTCTCGGTCAGAGCAATGTACAGTCAGCACTTCGTAAGCTTTCTGATCGCTCAGTTTTTGGGTGCTCTCTGAAAAGCATCTCGCAACACAGGGGTCGTATCCACTGTTGTCTAAAATAAGAAAACTTTTTAAAATTCTAGTTCCATCTTTACTGTTTTAAAAAAAAAAAAAAAGGTTGCGTGAAAATCCAAGATACTATATTTGATTAAATTTATTCTCTTAATGTAAATATAAACATTGATGTTTCTGTTTCAGATGTGTGCTCCCCCCTTTTTTTTGTTGTTGTTAAATGGCTTGTATCAAAGTCGTCTTATATACATCCATCTTTTTGCATTAAATATCTTGGTCTGTGCTTTGGAAATGTTGTTCCTTTTAGGCTTTTCAGTGAGCGGGAAAAATCCAAACTCTCTAGAGGACAGACAAAATATGACTTGAAAGACCTGTTAGAGAGGGGTAAATTCAGTTGATAATCTCGTATTTCACTTAGAAACAAGAATATCTGCATGTTTCTGTTCAAAAAGAGCTTATGAAGGCTGGTCTAGAAAGTCTTCCACGTTAGTTAAACTCCCTCTGCATGTACTTGATTGCAAGGTGGTGAGTTTTAGGTATAGCCAGTGTCAAGAGACATTCTACACAAAAATCCCACAGCTAAAAATATGCTGCTTAGCAGAAATCGTAGGTATGGCTGCTTTAGATTAATTGTCGAAAGGTCTGCAGTTTTCTCTGCTATTTTAGCTGAGGCTTCATAAATTAATAATGACCTCCACCTTCAACTAATAAAAAGTATACATGTAAACATACAGTTCTGCAGTGGAGTGGCCCCCAATCTAGTTCAAGACAAAAGTTTTAGCAACCTCAGTTGATAACTGTATAAATGCCCTTGGACTGCATTCTTGCATTATATACTTGCAGAGCTCAGTTATTTAGATTTTTGGTAACTTGAGTGGACAAATAGAATCTAGTCCCATCTGATACTCAGAAAGCAAATGCTAGAGTTTGCAGAAGGATTTTGAGCAGCTGAAAGATGATGAAATTTGAAACTGTCAGTAGAGGCGAAAGTTATGCACATTCAATCTTCCTGGGTTTAATCTTCTAAACCTAGTAATGTGCGCATGGAATCACTTGAAAAATGCAAGGTAATACAGCTGATAGCTAGCAACTGCAAAAACAGTTAAGTATGTACTATTGCAGTATTTGCCATGTGCTTGACAAATCTGAATCTTGAAACAGTTGAGAAAAGTTTATCTTTAATGCCTGTATGCAGTCCTGCACCTTATGTGTTTTGTTTTTTCACTACCAGGAATCAGGATCACATGTGAATAGCTGTAAGACAAAGTGGACGGCATGCTGGGATTTGGAGGTACTTGGGATTGTTCCAATCTCTGAATTTCAGGGAAGTTCAGACTATTCTATTTTGTCAAAAGGTTTTTCTTGTTGTTTTGTGTGTGTGTTTGATTTTTTTTTTAATTATTTCACCATTTTATATCTGTTCAGTCTTGCTCAGATTCTTGCAGGGGAACCCTTCCTTGTCTGTAATCTATAAGGAATCTAGTGGGTTTTTGAGGTTTGTTTTTTTTGTTTGGGGGGTGTGTGTGTTTTTAATCTGCCTGCTGTTGATGGTGCTACTGTCACATGGACATATTTAGTCTTCCCAAAATTCAAAAGCTTATATAAAACATATAGGATAAGTGTCTGTAGTCAAAAAGCTTGCGTGTATGTTGCTGAATAAAAGCAGGTGAGAGTCTGACTTCTGCCCCATAACATGGCTCATCTCGGCATACTGAAATTTCTCTCTTCTCCTGCTCCAACCAGAGTAGCTGCATCCAGGCTGGCTTTCAGGAGCAGTCTGTGGCACATAACATCCCCATAGCAATGCCAGGCGGAATCTGGGACAGGTTAAAACCCAGGTCCCAGCTCAATAACATCAAGATAATAAAACTCTGAGAGTGAACTTGGAAAGTGAAACCCATTAATTCCTACTGTGATCACTTTCTTCTCTACTCTACATGTTTGCTTTGGGTGAGGGCTGAACTGCAATGCCAGTGCACGATTCAGCCTCCCCCACCAGTCTCACTATTGCTGGCTTGCACAGCTGGATGGAGAAGCCATTTGGGAGTTTGGATTGCAAAGCTAACATGCTTCTGTAGAATAAAGTAGACCTCAAAAGTAGCTAGTATGTGAGTATTACATCCTTTGCTTTCATAGAGCACACCTCTGCTGGAAGCTGCTCTTTACATGGGGACAAATGGGACAGGGTAACGCGCAGTCTCTGAGGAGTCGGGAGCTTTCCTTTCTTCACTAGCAGTGCAGGGAATCTGATATTAAATGTCAAAATGGACACTGCAAATGCTTCCCATCTGTAACTTTTGCTAGCTATGAGGGAAAGGTCAAGATGACTCATGAGCTGCTATTCCATGCTCTTGCTGAGATGAGAAATGCAGTATTAACAATGTTATTTTCATGCAGCAATGAAAGTCATGGATCTACTGTTACCATGAAACCAAGGGGAAAAAAAATCTGTACTCTGCCTTTAAGGAGTAAGTCTCTGTGTGGGCTATATTTCATTTTACCTAAGGCTCCAACTTGTCAAGTTTTTCATGTATTAGAATAGTGAGGACCATCTCTTCTGGTTCTCCTGCTGTTTGAGCCCTGTGCTTTAAGGAGAGGGGTATGTACCTAGCCGGAGGCTGACATGCGCTCTGTTTTAAGACTAAGAATGGAAATCTTTTGATAACACAATTCAGTATGTTATCTTTCTGCCTCTGAATATTTCAATTGTGAACAGCAAAAAATACGCTTTCTGAGGAGAGGGGAAAAAGTGGGGGTGGAGCACATACTGGGAATTTCCCAGCAACTGACATATGAACTCTTTCTGGTTACCAGCAGTCTAGAGTCAGTTCCTCCAAGATTTTGCCACTATCAGATTTTTTGCGGAGACAGCAGGGCTCCGTTATGGTTGGACAGATGGTAGCTGTAAGATTTTACTCACGTTTTTCTACTGCTTTGTTCTTGCTGCTGGTGGTCACTATTACCCATTGCTCGGTATTGAAATGTAAAGAAAATGAATATCCCTTTGGTGGAAGATGCTGCAAAGACTGTGCTCCTGGTAAGTGATCTTCACTGAATATCAGTTGTACTTGTTAGATGTAATATCTATCAGTTAATGATCCACAGGTGGTAGAAAATAGCTTGTTAGTCGAAAGTACCATTCGGATGTATGAGGCATAACAGAAAAAAGCGTTTGAGCGTTTCACATCCTTCTAGTTTGCCAGAGACTACTTCTATAATGTATGGAATGTAGGAACTCTCTTTGCTGAGAGAGTTAACGTTCTTTAATTTCACTTGTGTGGCTTGTGTGGCTTAGTGTCCCTAATGCGTTAGGCTGGTGTGTTTTCACTGTGGGAGTATTAGTTGAGAAAAATAATTTATGTTACTATCCTTTTGCTTGTTTAAGAAAACACAACTCAGTCTTGCATAATAATAGAAAACTTGAGGTAGTTAAGTCTGTTGCTGAAGACCATTTGAAAGCTTTTTTTAAAATAGCAAGGTTTGTGCTAGCTAAGACTTGGATCTTTTTTTTATAGCGAGAACGTAACACCATATATTAAATTGAAGGATTTTAAATGTTAAACGTACATTATTTTTTCCAATCATCTATGAGCAAGTGCCACTTTTTAGAAACTGAATGAGTCTGAATGTCTGAATATTTTAGGTCATGTAATGGTGTGTGTGTGTGTGGGGGGGGGGGTTCTCACAGCTGCTATAACAATCAGTGAGTACCTCCGAGAGGGGTCAATGCAAAACATCAATCTAGATACTAGTAGTATCTTCGAAGGTGCTGATTGGAACAGATCCTTATTTAATCAGAGATCTAAGTCTTGAGGTAGTTTATTGTATGTTCCCAAAACTATCGAAATCGGTGTGCTTCTGAACTCTTGAGGAGTTCATCACTATATGTGGATACAGATAATCCTTTATCTCGAGGTGTTTTGTTCCTCTTTACTCTACTCTGAAAGAACTATAACCAATTTTTCGCATTGGTATCAAATTGGCATCTGCTGCCAGGAGATTTCTGTGTTCCTTTGTACTCTCTTCCCGATCATGTGGATTCTGAGAATGGAGAAGTGAATTAACTTGTGTTGTAGTTGCTAAAAATCTCTTGGCACCAATGACACTCAAAATACAGAGAAAATGAGGAAGAAATTTGGTGCTCACGGTTTGCCTACAGCACAAGAAAATGAAAGAAACTCTGAGAATAAGGGGATATTTGAGCTCAACTGTAAAGTCTGGTCATTAAAGCGTTTTATAATCCCTGCTGCCGGTATCGCATGGACAGAAGCTAGTGAGACAGAAGGAACGTGTCTGACTCCTTTTCCTAGGCCCTCCATGGACTTGCTCTTTCAATTTGGACAAATCACGTCACTCACAAATCTTGTCATCCCAGATTGCGAGAAAGATGCTCTGTGAAACAGTGCTATATACCAAATAGGCTGGGAAAATAGAATTTGTGGGTGCAGGTGTTCAGAGCTTGATTCTAAATGCAACATGTGATATCCATTCAATGTCTGGAGTAGTAACAGATGCCTGCCTTGCATCTTGGTCTCAGCCTCACCTTTTATGAAGTGAAGATAATATCATCGTGGATACTCATAGGTGCCAACACAGTTGCATATCAAAATACAACCCCATTTATTCATGCTTAATGGGCTTTGGGATCTCCAGCAGAAAGATACTACAAACATTTGTTCCTGATTGCTTCACTGATGAATTGCCTGTAAATCTGTGTGGTCCCTCACCGTGTTATGTACCTGTTTTGGGGGGATTACTTTGAGTTGAGTTGCATGATTGTTCTCATGGAGGAAGGCAGGGTCTGTCATGAAGCTACTGTATTACAGATATCAGACTTATTACCACAGTAAAACCTGCCTTTTTTTGCCCCTCACTCTTGCTGCAAACCCTGATATCTGAGCCATTTAAAAAGGTGATCTAGAGGAGTAATACTTGGAATGCACTGGGACAGTCATTTGGGGCATTGCCTTAATTCTCAGCAAGTTTTCAGGCCCCTGCTAGCCTGTTAACTGCTTAATTTACAGTGATTTTTATGGGGCAAAGTTTTCAAGGCTTCTAGCACTGAATCTGCTGAAGATTCTTAGCCAGTGAAGTGTGGAATGGAAGTGTGACATAAGACACTCATTCTAATGTATGGGAATGAGGAGGCTTTTTTTTTTTTTTTTTTAAAGTTTCTCCTTCTATTTGGCGTTTGTTTTAGGTGAAAGAATGAGATACCGCTGCACCGCAACAACAGAAACGGTCTGTGCCCCCTGTCAAGATGAATACTTTAGTACTGAGCACAACCACAGCTTCTGCAAGAGTTGTACAGTCTGTGACATTAGTAAGTCAGCTGTATAGTGTTTATTTCCTTATGTGAATTTCAGAGGGAATCGCTCTTCATATGCTTCCTCGTCTGTGCTTTCTCTTCAAAGGCTGGTATCATAAAGCGCCTGCCTATCACCTAGAAGGATCAAATCCAAAGACTTTCTGGGTTATCGTTTCAGTAGCTCATATCTCCTGGTTGGTAATAACGATAGAGCCTTCAAAGGGACTTTATAACTGCTTGAAAACTGGTATCCTAAGAATTATTGCTAAACTTTGTTCTCTGTGGAGTGTTTCCGCACACAGTGGGTAGGCACTGAGTAATCTGAGGTGTGCTGTGTTCTGTTGTCCCTAGAGAAAGGGAGCATGGAGGTGAAGAAGTGCGAGAAGACCTCTGACAGAACTTGTGTGTGTATTGCAGGTTACATGCCAGATTCCAAACATACACTGGGAAGTGGTAAGTTAGTGATGGCTGACTCTCCAGCCTCTCACCTGCGCTTCAAGTGAGATGATTATTTTTTCCTAGTGCAGAAGCCGTTTTCTTCTTTCATTTATGTCTCCAAGCAAGTGTTAGCAGCAGGGCAGTTGTACAACTGCTGCTGTGTGATTTCTGAGCTTTCAGAGATGTTAATGTTCTCATTGTTAATATCCATAATTAGCCTGTAGAGAAAGCAGGAAACCTAGTCAGTTGCATACTAAAAAGAACTGTTAAGCATGTTGTCTTACTCCTGACCCGTTGTAGAGCATGATTTCTAGAGGCTACGTGGGTTTTGTTGGGTCTGTTCTAGAAGTTAGTCTATTAGTATAAGCTATTAGTGCAATTATTGTGCAACTGTCATGTAGTTATGTTGCTAACCCAGGTCCAATCCTGTCTTTTTTTTTCAGTGTGCTTACCATGTCGTGAAGGGTTTTATTCTTTAGGGGGGAATGAAAGCTGTCGACCTTGGACCAAGTATGTATCGCTGATCCAAACACACTCAGTGCAATGTTTTGGGTTTACTTCTGCAGCAATGAATGCCCCAAGCCACGCTGAATGCTGGTATATAGAATAAACTGGCAGTAGATGCAAGGAAACCATGTTCCTGATGACTCTTAGGAGTCCTGAGCAGCCTGTGCCCTGATTTGAGGCATCTGTCTGCCTTCTGCCCTTTCTCTCTTTACATGATAACAGTATTTTCAGCCTTTCCTGAAGGTCTGGATGTGCTGTTTGTAGCAGAATGCTCCCTTGCCAAATGCAGCTGTGCTCCGAGGCTGCTGGGTGCATAGATACTTTTTTTCTTAACAAAACTGGATCGCTTCAGCTTTTTTCCACGGGTAACTTTGATATCAGAAAATTACTTCTTCTTCACAGACTTGTAGAATGAAAAAAAGGTGAAGCTTGAATTTGTACTGATGAAGCCAGAGTCACAATATTCACTTACTTGTTCCATGCAGGTCATTTATAAAGTCCATATTGGAACTATTTGAAAAACTGCTCTAATTTATTTTACATCTCTAGCTGTAGTGTTCTTGGAGAAAAGACTCTTCGAACAGGGACGAAAACAGAGGATGCTGTTTGCAGCAGCCAGGTGACTCGGCCAGCAACCTCTTGGAGTGTAACATCTGCTTTGCAACTTTCCACCACCCACCGCAGGAATAACATGTCAACTGCAATGCTCTCCCCATCCAAGCCCAGTGTCGTTCCTCTTATTATTTGCTCGGATAAGAACAGCCCCACAGAAACTAATTGGGGTAAGGAGAGAAATGGCCAAGTCTAGTCTGCTGGTAGTTACTAGAGCTGGTCAGAAATTTTCACTTGAAACAGATTTCATCAGAAATGAATTGCACTCTTTCTCAGAAGCAATATCTGATTTTTACAGTCTTTCAGTGAACCATGCACGGGGTTCCAGACTTCCTGCTAGCTCGTTTGAGAGCTGGGACTTCTAGGCTCCATGGTTCAGGGGTGCTCCCTGTCAAGCTGACTGCCTGCATGAGATCTGGAGTTCTAGGCACCCTCTTTTGAAGCAAGAAAGTCTTGGAAACTCCAGCTAAAACCATGAATCTCTGTTGGTGTAACCATTCTCTGGTTTTTCTTCAGGTCCTTTATTGCTTATCCTTATTTGTCTGATATTGCTCATGGTGTCTGGAATTTCCATCCTCCTGTTGATTATCCAAGCAGCCAAAAAGGAGACTAAGAGGAGGCCTTGTAGGAACAACCATCAGGGTGAGTTGCTTTTTAAGGAGAAACCATATAGAGAAGAGAATAATCAGGACCCCCTAGCTGAGCTTGGGTAATTGTTGCCATCATAATGAAATTACTTGACTGGGTAGCATGGTCTCACCTGCAGTTAATGCCAGTATTCAAGTCTCTGGTCCTCTCTGGTCCTGATGCACTGGAGCTGTCAGCGTCTTGGGTTTGTATTGTAGGGGACAGGCTCCCCTGCATGTTATCATGCAGGAAGATTAATTTATTGGGTGTGCTGATGGAAACAAATGTGAGGTTGTCTGTACTGCTTTTGAGTGAATCGTTAGAGGCCATTAATTCTGGTACATTGACTTGATTGTATATTCGGTGTTCTCTCTCTGATTTTTGTCTCCTATCTTCTTTCTCCCTGCTCCCCTCCAAAAATAATATAATAAATTTGAGCAGGAACTTTAGTACAGAGAGGATCCAAAACTACCAGTCTTCAAAAGAAGTTCACGATATAGTCTTTAGCTCATGTAGAAGTGAACTGTCTTGAAACGTCTCCTGCAAACACAGGCGAGGTTTGACTGAGAAGAGCTGAGCGCTCTATTCAGAACCAGGTAGCAGCCTGGCTTTTGAGTCAGCCCACAGCTGGCTCACGTTCCGTTCGGAGAGCAGTGGTTAAAATATTTTTTTCCATTGTTCCTTATGCTTGATGTTTCCTAGCATTGACTGGAAGGACAAGCAGTGACTTGGAAGTCACTCGTATGTGCCTAGGGATCCATGCAACTAGAAAGTCCCTGGCTTCCCTTTGCCCTTCCTCTCCTATTCTGTACTATTATTTTTCTTTTTTTCCTGTCTTTCAGAAGGAAGGAGCTTTCGAATTCCTATCCAGGAAGAACAAATCGACTCCAATTCCAGTCTCATCAAAAACTGACTCCACATTACATTAGTGTTTCCTGCATTTCTGAGCCCATCAATTGTTACAAGTAACATGACAGAGTATTCTGTGGCTATATATGTGGGTGTGTGCAACTGTTTAATTGCACTTCTGTTGCTTTGGGTCTCCTTGATCAACCCTTAGGCATCAAGACCCTTGGGAGTAGCTGTTCTGATGTAATCACGTGATTCTTTCTCTCTTAGGTGGGTCCTGTGCGCAACATCCCTGTTGCCAGGCCCCAAGTAGGTAACAGCCCTCTGGGCATCTCTAACCAATTCTGTGTATAGTGATAGGCAATTATCTTTGGACTGAAGAAATTGTTTACAAAGCTGTAAGAGCTAATCACTCAGGAGGTGAAGAATGGGGTGGGGAAGAGGGAAGAGCTGCTTTATAACTCAGTTTACTACTTGTCCTACAATTCTAGGCTGCCAGGGAGGGTATGTCTCTCTTCTCTCGGTGCAGCCTTCTCCAGTATTTCAGTCTAGTTTTTCAAATGAACTTTCTTCCCTTTAGGTAGAGAATTCTCCTCATGAACCTAGCTAGCTTCCTTTGCACTTTTATATTTTCATCTTCTTCTCTTCTCAGTCAAGACGAGTTGCATATGTTGGCTGTGCCTGCAGAGACAGAATTGCTATAGCTAGCAGTTTTGGTGCTGACGCTGCTAGCTCTTAGCTACCAATTTGAGAGGTGGCTATTGGGTGCTACTTCTCTTTTCTGCCTTTCTCTAAACTGAGGCCTTCAGAAAATATCATGTTAACATACTGAGCAGTGTCCCTATAGTTTGGCCAACAAATGGAATTACTCATGATCGCAGGGCAGCTCCAGATCTCCCAAGTGTTTGTATGTGAAGCGTGCGGAAGGTAGAACCTGTGTACTCACTACTAAAAAGCCAAGGGAATGATAATTTCTGATTAGAACCTTTAGGGACACTGTAGTTTAAAAAAGAGGAAAGGTAAAGTATAATTTGTCTGTCTTGCAAACCTTATTGCTTGTCATGTGTAACTAATGTTTTTTCCACAAGCTCTGCACAAGCAACATGCTCTTGTGTTTCCTCTTGGTGAACATCCTGTTGTGGTGAATGCCCTGGTGTGCCCATCCTCAGCAAGGGTGAGCCTGCATCAGTCAAACTTGGACTTCTCCAGAGTAAAATAGTTTAGCTTAAACCACTTCTGTGGGACTTTATTGCTTGCTTGGAAGTAATACTATGAATGTAGGGGAACTCACAAATGAGTTTGGATCTAAACAGTACTCTGGATTTGGACAAAACTTTTATACCTTTTGTTTAGGTTTAGGAGCATATACTTGGTCATTTAGAGTTTTTTCTGCTGATGAATGATAACTTTGTGATGGTATGAAAAGGTCCTTTGGAAGTGATTCAGAAAAGAGTAACTCCCTAGGTGGTCTCTTTTGATAAGAGACCATAGCTGGACTTAAAATAACACAGGGCTGAGCCTCTAGAACTTTGAGGGCTGCATTTTAGCAAAGACATGCAGAGATTATCTCACAGGAGGTAGACACCCAAACTATGCTGTCACGATTCATATGGATGCTCACCTTCTGCATGCTGTCAGGGAAACCTGCACTTAGAACTGGAGAAGTATTCTTGGTCTGGTCTGTGTGCATTTAAAATACACCTGGATGTGAGCCTACATATGTATGAAAGCTAAGTTTTCCTTCAGTAACTTTTTCACAGGTCAATCAGTTTGTAGTTTTAGAGAGCATGCAAATTTTAGATAGCAATTTCAAAAATCTGAAGTGCATGAGAGAGACCTGAAACGTTATTGCAAATAGTTTTGGATGGAATTTAAAATAGCTCAGTGTAGAAAGTTCAAGAAGCAGACATGAAAATTATTATGGAATTCAGAAATGTTTTTCACTTTAAATATAACTCTGTGGTAGATAACTTAGCAGAGATGTATGTATTTTGTATGCATAATACCAAAGCATATGTGAAGATATGCATCAGGAGATGTATTCAAGAATACAACTGGTGTCTAGAAACATGTTTTTAAACATATGTTTTGTTATATGTTATACATATGATGTATTTAACAGTGTTTTTCTATACTGAAGTGTATATACAATGTATATAAACATTTGTATTATATACAAGGTATAATAGTGATTTTTTTTTGTCAAATAAATTGTGACAGTGATCGGGATGCCCATGTATGATGTGTATGACTGGAGAGTGGAAACAAGCAAGAAGAGGTATTCCAGTGTGATGCACTGGTTGGGTTGGAACATAAAGTGACCATTGACTTTTTTTCGTAGCTTCCTGTATGAAGGCCTTTGAACCTCCTAAGAAATGATTCCCATAGTAAGGGATCCTCACACTGAAGATCCTAAGACCTTAGCTTTAGAGGCCTTTTGGACTACCCTTTATCTTGGCTTGGAGTGGCATCTTGTCATGCTATCTTGCCAGCCCTGTGAAGGGTACCCTACTGCTCGCTAATTAAGCTCATTTATACTGTGATGCTGCACCATCACAGCTGCTGACTGCTATGGGTGTAGCCTGAGACCCTGGACCTTGACTGTTCCTCTGAGTCTAGTGCTAATTGTGACAGTGTATAAGTGTGTGTGCTTTTGTTCTATGTAGTCTTGGCTGAAGTCTGCCAAACCATTGCAGAGTTTAGATCTGGCCCCAGTGACTAGCTGTGAGAATGGCTCTGAGAGATCCCTGCTCTTGTTGCATGAAAGTGCCGTTCTTATGAAAACCAGAATGGCCGAATGGTCAGACCTGTGGCTTAGCAGGCTTAAATTTAATGCACTGCCTAGCCTCTGCCTTTCTGGGTAACTTGAGCAAGTTGTGTGGTGCTTTGCTCTGTAAATCAGGCCTGGTAGCAGTTCTGACCTGAGAGCTGCTGGGAGAGTTGAGATGGTAAGGCTCAGCCCCTTCAAAAATGCAGAGATCAGTGTTGAATGTAGAGGTCTCTGGAAGTGTGTGATGGCATACATGCTGTCATCTTGCAGTGAATGAGATGGCAGAATACAATGGATGAATCTGAGAAATGGAATCTAAGGAACACCCAGAAAGTACCTGGAAACAATGCTTATCAAGCTTGCAGGTTGCACTTTGGAGGCAGTAAAACTAGCACTATGTTTCCACAGAGCGCTCTGAGCAAGGTGCCGATAACCCATAAGCTATCTGAGGCTGTGGGTTATATGAAGAAAACAAAGCTTGCTGGAGCAAATGAGCTGTTGACTTGACAGAGGTGCTGCTATGACAGCAGAGCTCCTCTGTGGTGAGGGCTCATTGGCTGGTTCTGTGAACCTTGCACTTGATTTCTGCTGACTTGGCTGTGCAGGAAGATGACTGGGTGCATTGTGTTTCTGTGCCTTCCTACAGCCTCCTGACTAGGAACTTTCCTGGAAACTAGGGCTTGATTTCCCTCTGGCTGGAGAAAGAACTGCCCCAGAAGCGCACAGCAGAGCTAGCATAGCTGAGGACAAGTTATATTTGCTTGTCCCCATTTGGGAAACTGAAGATAGACAGTGCAGTATGTTGTGTTGCTGGAGGCCTGTAACAGCAAGCTTTTGCGCACTGTGATTGCTGACTGTTGTGTTAATGCATGCCAGTGAGCCAATCTGTGCTGGGCTCTGCTGCTATAGAACTGCTCTATTGAATGACTGTGCAGAGCTATAATCTTATCAAAAGAATTAAACCATGAGAATGCTTGATAGGATAGGAGGCATTTACAAATTGATTTTTATCTTTTGAGGATTTGGGTGTTGGTAGGTTTAAACAAATTAATGTAGCTATTTCACTGTAAATAAAGGAATAATAACTTTAAGAATTGGTCATTTTCAACCATGTCGCTTTCCTGCCAAAAGGCCTGTCCTAGTTTCTCATTCCACAATAAAAACTGTAGAACCAACATGCTGTAAACCCCACCGTCCTCACTAAAATGGCAAAAGGTAGTTGTGTTAACAGGAGGCAGAGAGTCTTCAACAAACTGGTGCTACTCACACTTCTTTCATCCTGCATGCCAGAAATGAAACTTTCCCTTCTCAAAGATAGGGGCCTGTGTCTCAAAGCAAGTTTGTGTTTTTCAGTCTTTGAGACCTCCCCTTTTTGAGGCACTTGCTAAGAGAGACGCAGGGTTTATAACTTGTGCTGCTGCTTCATCTAAGCTGATATAGGGCTGTACTAGAATTTTTTAAGTGTAGTGCAGTAAGCTAGGGTATAAGAGTTTTTAGGAAAGCCACAAGCATCTTTTTCTAATTGAAAGAACACTCCTTAGCTTCTTCCATTCTGCAAACTAGTCAAACTCTCTGCTTTTAGAATGAACAGTATTGGCACTCAGGGTGGTTCATAGATCTCTGATTAGTAAGTTAAATGCATCTCAATCACCACAGGACCCTGATTCAGTAAGTCACATATGCACAGGCAAAACTAGCTGCTTGATTGTTTTGAGAACGAGCTCTAAAACTAACAAATATGTCTATAATTTTGTTTTTTCTAGGTAACTAAGAATCTAAGAATAAAGTTTTTTTTTTTTTTTCATGAATTGTTTAACTTCTTTTCAACTGCTTGCCCTGAGTTACTTTCATTTCAGGCCTTGTGTGCAGCCCTTGTCCTTGGTTGTAATTACTTCCCTGCAAGGACAGAGATTAGGGCATGAGATTGCTACAACAAGCAGGGAGGATTCCCTTCTTTACCAGCCCCTCTTCTCCTTGTAATTTCTATCTGAATATTTTTTTTGGTGTCTCATACATATAAGGCTATTGCATATGGCTGCCTGTAGTTTTAACAGACCCCTTTCTTTAAGATGGTTCTGCCTATTGCTTTGTTGCATTCAGCTCTGGAGAAGAATTAGGACAGGCCCAGACAGTATTTAGTTGGAAAAAAAAAAAAAAAGTTTTAAATGAGCTGGGTCTTCCAGCCCTTGGAAGCTCCTTTCAGACTGCAGATATGACAGTAACATACACATATGCTTTGGTGGTTATTCTCATTTTTTTAAAAAAAAGATATGGGCCATAAGTTTATTCTCTTCATCTTCACTTCTTTCTTTGTCTGTCTTCTACAAATGTATGACAAGTTTCTGCTGCTGTAGCTACTCTAGATCCTTTATCTCATGCATTTTTCTCTTCCTCATCACATCCTCCTGTGACTTAGAAGTGCATCAAAGTGACTCAGGTTTGCCATGAGAGACTTTAAAAAGGTCACATCTGATATATACTGTCAGCTGGCAAACTGGAGAGGAAATACACAGCTTGGTAACGTCAAGGAGTTGGGGTTTTTACCTTGTCTGGTTTGGTTTCCTTCTGTGAAATGTCACTGTTACATTACTACCCAGCCTCTCTCTTCCCTCCATGGGGATTGCATTTGCAGGGAGTCACAGTGTGTGGTGGCCAAGTTGTGCAAACAACCCAGAGCTGTAACCACAAGACTAATTTCATTGGCTAAGGTGGAGCGCTGATGAGTGTATGATGGAGGCCCTTAACACTACTCAAAGGAAAGATTTAGAGGTCTTTGCAAAGCCCTAATTATTTCAGGGTGAGAAGGATTTAACTTGCCCATGGGACCAACACATGGCCTCGCATGAACCACCCCTGCTCCTGCCACGCTCTTTGACTCCTGCGACCCCAGGCTTACCTAGTGCTTGCAGGGCAGTAATTCTCCACGTGTGCCAAAAGAGGGCAGGCGTTAGCCGCGCTCCGCAAAAACTGCAGACTCTGGGAACTCCCAGACTAGCTAGCCCTAGTCACTCCAAAATCTCGAGGCTGGTCTAGAAGTTAGCATTGGAAAGCAACGTTTAACAATGTTGTCCTCTAGTTTCAGGCTACAGATAAGTCAGTGATCCTTAAACTTTTTTACCCCACTTCTTGGACAGGACTATGAGAGCTATCGCTATGGATGTGATGTCCTTCTAAGGAGGTTGATGTCCTTGTGTCCCATACAGGGTCATATTCAGTGTGTGCTTGCTGCAGTGTGGGCCTGCACCCCATGCACTGGGTGTTCCTCTGTGCTTTCTGCAGCCCGTCAGAACAGCAGTTCTGCCACAGGTTCCCTATACAGCAAGTCACTTCACCTTGTGTGCTCCAGGACCCCCGTGGGAGAGCAGGAGAACAGCCTGCTTTCCTCAGGGATGCTGAAAAACTCAACTTTAAAACCTTAAATATTTTAAGGTGCCCAAACATCATGGTGGTGTAGGCCTTACCTAAAGAGCTGGCTATAAAATGAATTTGCCTGAAATATGTCCAGCTTTCTGAGCACAGAGTGCTCATGTGCTGAGAACTGAGGCCTGCTCTGCTGAGTGACTGGTGGGTGTTTCTCTAGAGGAGTTCATGGTTTTCATGGCTATGAGCAAGGACACAGGTAGTGTGTTTCATTTTCTTTCTGGGCACTGAGATTTTGCCTGTCAGCCTAGATAGGATGGGATTTGTCATGAGCAAAGAGAGTCGGCAGCTGTCCTTTAGTTGTTTTGTTATGAATCACAGGGAATCTTCTGCAGTCAGTCTAACTAAAAGTCTGGTGAGAGCAAATGTCGCTAACAATATGACTTCCCCTAATCTTCTTGCTCTTCTGTGCAAACAACGCCTGACAGAGGTTTTGCACTAAGACCAGCCTCCAGCCATAAAGCTGGGCTAGCATTCTGGCAAGGGTCAGTGTGGAAAATGCCTTGAATGTGAGCAAAAAAGTACAGGTAGATGAGGTTTTTTAAATTTATTGCTGTAAATAAGAAGTAACGTGCTATTTGGGCTATGCCAGGCACAGGGGAAAATCATTCTTTATTCTCTAAACTGAGAACTAAGAGATTAGCCACAAAGAGGCCTCCATTGCAGCAACCGCTATCTCTTAGAGGTATGATATGCTTCCTCTGTATCAGGTAATGATTTTAGCCCTTAGCATCTACTGATTTATGACCTTAATGGGACCTGGAAGGCTGGTCACAGAGGCAAGATTCTCCCACTGCTACTTGGGAGAGTCCTACCATTGCTGCAGAGCTCCTTTGCAGCTGTAGAATCCTCTCTCTAGGAAAGGTCCAGGATGGGACTAACGCATTTTGCAGCTGTGATGGCATAGTGAAGGTCTCTATAGCTAGACTGACCAGAAGTTGGATTCTAAGAACATAGGCAAGTTTTGACAACTGCATGTGAATCCTTTAGACAGCAATGGAGTTTCCTATGGTGAGACAAAAACAGCTTGAGATGGCGCTTACAAGGCAGTTTATACCTCAGTCTAACATATTTCTTAGTCATTCAGAAATTGCATAGACTTCATGTGAACAAAGTTGTAGGAGAACTGCATGGCTTACTGCTTTGATCGCCCGTTATGGGTAATCAGCACAATCTCAATGTCAGGAAACCAAGTACTCTCCTTGGCCTGTGATTGACGACATTAAGTCCAACCAGTGTCAGTAAAGCCACTAAACTTGCAAGAACTAATTACACGTTTGAGAAATGATTGTACCCTTCGCTTGTTGTTGTTGTTGTTATTCCCAAAAGGTTAATAAGAACAGTTCAGCAAAATCATGGCTCCACTGGCCCAAGGCAAAAAGGAAACTTTAAAATTAGGTGCCTGGCAATGTGTGTAATGCTCAGCACATGGCTGAATACCATTATGGTGGGCAAAAGTGGAATTCGCAGCCAGCTTTGTAAATACTCTTAGGAATGTGTGCCTTGAGGACAGAGATGCAAGTTGTCTTATCTGTGCACTGCAGTGGGTGGAAGAACTCATTTGTTCTTTCTTTAAATCTCATCCTTGAGCACTCTATCTGGTGTCATGTGTACAGACTGTGGTAGCACAGAGCAGGGGAAAGGGATTGGGGATCTGTAACAGCTCTTCTGTTCCACCGCTGCGTGCGCTGTTTCAGCCTTAGTCTGCCCTGAACTTACAGCTACATGTGGACATGGGCAGGTGTGGCTGGAAGAGGCTCCTTCCTCCTCTGGAGGCTGAGGCAGGAGGTGAGTTGCTGCATTTGGGGTCTTTTGCCATACATGCTTCTGTGTCTCCTTCCTTTGCTGGAAAGAGAATAAGCCCATCTTTCCCGTGTCGCCTGATGCACAGCAATGAGGCCCCACACTCAGAACTCAGTTTCATTTCCTCAAGATAGTCATGAAAGATTAAGGTCTCTTCATCCAAGTCTGAGGAACTAGAGCCTCGCATACTAGTCACCCTTCAGTTCAAACTCCTGTACAAGCCCTTGGAGAGCCTCTCTTCAAAGGGACAGTGGCAGCAGCATTAGGCTTCTCCTTTTTAATGGAAGCTAGGAACTCTGGACCCTGAGGCATTTCTGCCTCAGCCCCTAGATTAATTTCTTTGCCTGGTCTAAACTGTGCTATGTCTTCCTATTTCAGGCAAAGGAGAAACCACTGCATGTTGTATGTGCTCAGGCAAACTTGGTTCCTATGGCCTTTCCAACCCTTGGGGTTATAATTTTGAACACAGGTCACATAGGTTGAAAGCAACTCTCCAGGCCACAAAGCTTCTGTCTCTGGAGGAAGATAAAGCCTGTGAAGATTACTTGTTAAAAAATTACTTGTTAAAAAATTTAGTTTAATTCAAAAATACTCAGGCTAATTCCCCAGCTGTTGATAATTAATCCTACCAAAGAGGTGATGAGGAAGTGGAAACTACCGCTTATCGATGAGTATAATGGGTCTTTGTTCTAGCCGTAGGTGCAGAGCATTCTGGAAACTCTACCGGATCTGTACCGGGCAGTAGCATGGAACCTAGCAGCGTTGACATGCATCACCTATAGGACTGAGCAAGAAAGGGTCAGCAGATGAAATGTCACTACCTCAGAGACAGGTGAGATGAGCTTTAGAAAACCCCTAAAGATTTTTGCAGTCAGATAGTCAGGTTATCTTTGAAAGGTCACTGCTGACTTCAGTGTTTTAGACTTGGCATGTACAACTATTGTTTGTGATCTGACTGTAAATGTTCCATCATCTGAGCATGACTGTAATGCTTGAACAAGAATGATAATATGTACAGACTGGTTTAGAAAGCATCTACATTTAAAAAAGGCAGAGGGAAAGAAATGGTTAATTTCTAGGTCTGATAAGCAGGTGCTCACCAGCATCCTGGTTATGCTGTCAGATATGCTAACTGCCTGCCTGCAGGATTTGCCAGGACTGGGGTTCCCTTGAACCATCTGCCAGCTGTCTCTGTAGCACCTCTGGAGGTCTCTTCCCTATTTTTGGGTTTATGATGCTGAGCAAAATGTCTAGTTAAAGTTTCTGTTTGAGATTTAAGTAGTGCTAATTATTAATGTTCATCTTTGAACTTTGGGGGAATGGCCATTTCCTTCATCTGTAACCATTGTCCCTTCTAGTATATATGGCCCAGTCTATTGATACTGCTATGCTTCTCCTTCTAAAGATGAAAAAAATAAGGCATCAGGAGTCTAAGTGTGATGCCGAACTTCGAGATCAGGTCTGTTACTACTCAAATCTTTGTTAGTTATAAAATTACCTGTCCTAGCTGTTGCTGGCAGTAGTAGTTCTTCCTGTTGGTTTTTCAGCAGCATTAATTATCAGAAAGTAATGCTAAATGACTCTCAGCTCCTCAGGACTCCAGCTTTGGCATCGGGACAACTGTCAGCATTCTAACAGGGTTTGTTGTCTGGCATGGGTATTGGCAACGGGACTCCACGCAGGGTTCAAGTACAGGTAACAAAGCTTGAGAAGGTTTCTGGGAGTGGGCCAAGCCCCTCAGCAACACAGAGCTGATCCCATCTCTTCCTATTCCTGAGTTATGTTTCTCTCTGTACATCTCCCTAACAAATGATTTGTCAAGGTTACTTCTCACACCATTTGTGATGTGCGTCCTACGGGTTCTGTGTTGCTTACTGCGTTTGGGTTTGCAGCCCTTTTATGTCTGCAGGAAGCCTGCACGCTACCTCTTAATGAAACTGGGAGCACCTGACCTCAAAGGTGGGTACTGCTGGGAAGAAGAATAAATCTTAGTTGGGGATTTGGCAAGCATCTTGCCTACAAGAGCAGTAGCAGCACTTGCCATCAATGTAGATGTGGGTTGCTCTGCCCCCAGGCATTATATCCACTGCCACAATAGAGTGGAGGGCCTTCAGTGTGCTCCAAGTTTTCCTTGCCCTATTGTATAAGGAGGAACATTTTTAAATGGGCCATAATGCTACAGGGTGAATCTTAATGTGATTATGGCAAGGATTTTGGAACAAGTTTTCCATATTGAAACAATCTATTTAGTTGTTTTAAGAGCCAGGGATGATAAATAAAAATATCCTCAGAGTTGGTCAGGGTATGTGTGCAATTCAGAAGCAGTTGTAGCACTGATTTGTCTGCAGAGTATATTGCTGGAGTGTCCAATGCTTTTGTCAAAGAACTTATCTTCATCATAAGACACTGCAGAGTCTGTGAGAGTGTGAGGCAAAATTTTGCAGGTTGCTGAGTATGTTCTGCTTTCTGTATGAGGGAAGCACCCTGGCCAGGGTGTATAGCTCTCCCTGTCCCTGTGTTGCACAAGCGTTGCAGTTATGCCCCTTGGATGAGGTGGGGAAAGGAATTCTAACATGGGGGAGTGGACCCAAGAGCTGTGATGTCCAGCAGTCTTTGTGGCTGGTTGGGCAGCAGCTGCAGAGGGAAGTGTGTCTCTGGGTTTGCAGTGTAGTGTGAGTGGTACAGGGGACAGGCTGTGGCAATTATGAGGACTGATGTCTTTTTTTTTTTTTTTAACTTCAAAAACACAAATATTGGCCTGCTGAGGGCGTTATATGGCAGTGACTGCAGAGGCCTGCTTGCAGCTAGTTTGGATACCAGCTTTTGATAGAGAGGTTTTATCTAGCACATTTATGAGTACAAGAAGCTTTGCAGCATACATTTGGAAAACTAGAAGGGACTGTTGCATACCAAACATACATGATTGTCTTCTGCCTAGGACAAAAACATAGGTAAATACCTGAATAGACCAAGGACTAAGTGAATAGTGTGTTGACTGACCTGCTCTTTGACATCTGTAAATGAGACTTCAGGGAGAAGTGTAGAACACGCTGAAGGGGAGGGACAGTGTGTGGGTGCGAAGTTTATCCAGGCTACCTTGGCTGTGTATTTAACTAAAGAACTAACACTGCAAGTGCCAAGTGCTGTAGACATGGCATTTTCCACAAGCACTCATCTCTCTTCACGGGTCTGACTCTCCCTTGCCCTGACCTATGTGTCATCGCACGCAATGTGGAAAAGAATCTGTTAAAAACTGCCTCTGCACCAAAATTCATCTCTTCAGTTGAGAATGAGATTGGATTTTAAATGCCATCTTCACTGTGCGTACATAAAAGCAACCACAAACTACAGGGATGGAAGCAAACCCTAGAGTGCAGTGGAAAGAGAAAGGACAAGAGAAAAAGCAAACCACTTATACTTTAAAGTGGAGATGGGAACGTGCATGTGTGTTTGTATAAGACAAGATGTTTTGGAGTTGAGACCCGGCAGCAGGAGATGATTACAGACAACATGTCTGTGCCTATATGAAATTTTGCTAAGCAGCTGTCTGATGTGTTGTCTGTGTGACAATTACCTATATCCTTGTGGGGCAGAGGGTGGAGGAGCAGTATGTGTCTTTAGATAGAGTTCACTGCAGCCTACTGCCATTTTCAGTTTTGGTACCAGGGCTGGTCTTGCAGCTTGGAGGAAGACAATATTATTTTTCTTGATCTATATTGAGTTACATTAGCTCTGGAAAATAATTCAAGAGTCGCACAGTCCAGAGTGCGAGGAAGTTGAAAATGATGACCAGAATCAGAAAAGGTGTGTGGATGGGCTTACTTTACGCTGTACATCTGATAATTAAATCCTTGAGAATTTCTAAATTCATTAGGAACTATAAGTCAGAATGAACTAGTCTGAGAGAGCTGAAGTTCACACCCCAATTTAATTTGCATTCATTTTCAGGCGTGTGTAAGTTTGCAGGACCCTTTGAAAATCAAATTTTGTGATGCTACATTTTGCTCCTTACCTGTTGCTCTCTTAATGGAGTCACTTGTGCATGGCTTCTCAGCCCTACTTTTTGTAAGAATTTGATGGGGTAGAATAAAATCGTTTCCCTGCCCCTAAAGAAACAGTAACAGGAAGAGTGCAGTCACCACTACAAAAAGCACAGTGCCTTCCCACAGAGTCAGAGGAAAGGGCACTTTTGAAGGGGAAGTCCAAGTACCAGCCCACCTTAGCGTGCTTTTCGGCTGTATAGCTTGAGACATGACTAAAGAAACAAGTGAAGTTGGTCTCCTCAAGACTCAAGCGTACTTGCTGTTTGTGGTGTGTCTGTGGCCGTTGACACAGCAAGCTCTGGCAACACCATGTCCGGATGGTGAACTGAGGCTGATTAGTAAGGAGGAAAAGAAATGCTGCCCCAAATGCAGCCCAGGCACTGGTAAGGGAATGAGATGTCTGTCTTTTTTTCTCGTTTGTCAGTACTAATTTATGTCAGCCACCATAAACAAATAGGAGAATGGTGTATATGTGTGTGTAAACGTCGATGTATCTTGAGGAACTACAAATGCAGAACAAAACTGCAGGGGCTTGTCTGCTGCCCCCTTAGTTCAGAATGTGCCTTAGCTATAAGCTTCAGGTTGAACTCATGTTTTGGCGTTGTTATGTGACTGTACTTGTTACTCTGTTATGAGGAGGGGGAAGCAAGATTTCTGAGGGCTGGCATGGCTCATGTGGAAAAAAAGTGTTCACTCAACGGTGGTTCTGACCCCTTGCTCAATTCCAAGATGGTTTCTGAATATTGTCTGTGCCATTCAGACTTCAGTGGGGATGCAGGGAGTGATGCTCTCTGCAAAGCTGTCCTTTGAAGTGTGTGGTCCTAAAGAGTGGGAGACTTCCCACTTCAACCCCTCTGCTCAACTTACAGAGCAGCTGACCTATGCTTATCTCAGATATAAATGGAGAGACAGGGTCTCAGGTGAGTATTAGTTTCAACAGCCTGTTCTAACCTGTGTCCTTGCCTGGGCTTAGGATTGTGATGAATTGTTAATGGATTCTCCCTTGGTTGTGATTTTTAAGTCAGACACTAGAGGTGGAACAGGCTAGTTGCAGGAGTTACTAGGTGACATTTCTGTGCCAGTTAGGCTGAAGGACAGAACAGGTGATCCTAATGGTCCCTTTCATGGTCCCAGGAACAGTCATACTAATCCTTCTAATTTAGTGCTGTCTATAGCAGTAGCCAGAGCTGAACAATACAGAACATGCAGCTGTTTGCGTGACCTACAGCAAGGAATACACCTTCCTTATCAGTTTGTCCTGAAACAGGATTACCGGAATCCTCATCTATCTGATATGATGGTGCTGTTGTCCTGCAGGGTTAGCAACAGGATTAGCCAAGAGGTTTCATCTTTTGTTGGTGCCTAGGTAAGAGTCAGCCTACCGCTCTTAGTCGCTGGAATACATCTGCCCCAACCTTTAGCAAGGAAATTGAGCCCCTCGTGGAAGGGAGTAGGTAGATGCATGGGATTTATGGGAATGAACAAAGGATAGGTGAAGAGTTATAGAGCTCGTCTCTCATAATCCACCCATTAAATCCTGGTTGGGTGGGTCATCCTTAATCAGGGGCCTCCATGAGGTGCATTGGAGGGTTTAAGTTCAGAAGCCAGTGTTTTCGTGTTCACGTTGATAAATAGGACATTCGAGCTGGTGGTGACCATGGAGAAAGCTAGAGGTTTGAATCAGCTTTGTAGGATGAATGTCTCTCCAGTCCCTGACTGGGGCCTCTTCAGATCAAGACAGGGATGCGTGAATTAGAAAGCAGTGTATATAGAGTGAGGGGAGGGATCCCTGCTGCTCTCCAGGCTGTCTCTGTTCAGTGGCTAGGGAATTGTTTGATCTGTATCTTGCAATCCAGTCTCCATCACCAATGCTAAAATAGACTGAAAGGTCCCTCCTTTCCATTCACCTGCCAGTGATAGTGTGGAAACCCCAGGGTATTTCCCTTCCCACTGAGATAAAGTCATTCAGCGTGGGATCAGCTCCAGAATCACCCACTATTAACACAAGGAGAGAAAGATCTTCAAACATTTCCTTTTTTGTTGCCAGGCTTCATTAAATTTTGAAGGCCAATAAGAGGCGAGTGATGATCAGAGGAAGATGTGGGCAGTTCCCTCGCAGCCCTGCACATTCCTTCACCAAATAAACTTTGCTTGATCTTTGCTGCTTGCTGTTGGTTTTCTGAGTGCACTATTGAGCTAGCCAGTACTTCCCTCTAAATTTCTTTTCTTTAAGGTCACAAAACTTTTTGATTGAACAGCACTTTTCCTCTAACTGCTCTCCAAGTAACAGATGAACTACTTGATATTGTTTGCTCATGGCGTCAGTAGATTTGATTGATCCTTTGCTTTCATGAACTCATGAGCCTCTCAGAGTTAGTGTTAATGTTTTTGGAATTCAAGCAAGGTTCATAATTGAACTCCTCTAGAAACAGAGGGTAGAAATATGTGGTTTATGGCTTGGATTTTGACACGCTTTTGGCAACAGAGCTTAGGAAGCAACTGCTGTTGTCAGGAAAGGCATGGAAAAGATGCTCTGGCTTCAGTGGCCAGGGATCCTTTGCACATCCCTCTTCTATCAGGGCTGACCCTAACTGAGAAGGGCTCTGTCAGTGTCCAGAGAGTTGACTTGATGGCTAGTTGATGTGCAATGCCTCCTTGGGTCATTGGCAGTGACACCCTTACCTTACAGCATCTGAATCTGAACTTCAGTAAGGCAAACCTGCAGCCTTAGCTCTGTCTCCCACTGCCTACGCTGGTGGGCTGCCTACAGGTATTCCAGATAAGACAAAGAAGTCACCGTGGTTAGTCAGACAGTGCTCAGGTCATCGTAGCGTAAAAATTTGAGTGGTGCTGACTTTGAGTCCTCTAGGCTTTACTCAGTATGCCTGGGAGTATGTCTGTTCTGGTATTCTTTTTTTCACCACAGCACAATAAAAAACTATTTCACCAGTGTCAGCCAGTAAGACTAATGGTTAAATGAGAGCTAGTTTCTGGCCTCAGTTATAAAGGCAATTCTAACTTCTCCCTTTCTTCTTGACAGGAGACGACCGGTGTGCAGACACAGAGGATCATGACTGCAAATGTCGTCTGGGATACAGCTGTACTGATAGTGCATGTCTCTACTGTGTAAAACTGCCTGAATGTGCAGAGGGAGAGGAGCTGGTTAAGTTTGGTAACTAAAGAAACAAAAATGGCTCTTAAAGCTGGAGTTCATATAGGTGGTTTGTTGAGCAGCAGACAGTTTCATTCACTGCTTTTGGGAGCGCTTCGGATGCAAAGGATAGAAATGACATTTATACCCTGGCTTGAGCACCTGAAGCCCTTGCTTCCCAATTTTTACAGCGTTTCCCTTCATAAATTTGGGATTGTTCAGTTTTGTGCTCAGGCTTTTGGAACTGCTTTTCTTCCACGCTGTTAGAACTGTCAGTAGAAGTCTATCTTGCTGCCTGTGGTGGCTCTTAAGTTTACACCCTATGCTGTCAGATTAGAGTATTCTGCCCTTCTGCCATAAGGGGTCAACTCATACATCTCCCAAAATACAGAGGTGGCAAGAACTGCTTATATGTTTATTCAGAGGGCTGATTAATAATTCAGAGAGACTATAAAGGGAACTCATCGTACTCCTATCTGTGGTATTGCTATTTTTCCATTCAGTAAAGGCACTGACCTCTAATAATTCATGTTCTCTTTTCTTATAGGCATTGTAGACTTCACATTCACGTGTAAACCTTGTGAGATAGGAACCTATTCTAATGTTAAGAATGGCTGGTGCCGTAACTGGACTGAGTATGTATTCATCAATTTTTTTTTTGAAACATGCATGCTACAATTCTCAATTATTAATATTTAAATTGGAAAATAAAATTGAATCAAGGAAGTGATCACCAATTGATGAAATTAATTACTTTTTCTAATTCAGCAGTATACAATATTTATTTCAACTTTGGCTTTATGCATAATGGATCTCAGAAAAAAAATCTCAAGAAAAACTGCTTTGTGTTCAGCCTGCTTACAGGCCCATCACAAACTGATGTAAAAATTATTCCAAACATGGACATCACTTGAAAGAGAGAAGCTGAAAAAAAGTGTGCCTAAACCATCGTGATCTAGTGTTATCTTGATGGGAAGCAGCCATAATTTGGCCTACGCTGCTATAAAAAGAAAAAAAGGAAACAAATTGTGGAAATAAAGGAGGAAAGGAAGAAAGGGAGCCAAGGGGAAGGTTGGAGAGGAAGGAAGGGGCAAACAGGGATATTCTAAATTTGACTTTTATTCTTCTTTTAGCTGTGAAAGTTCTGGATTTCTAACAATCAAGCAAGGCAACAGTACACATAATGTTGTATGTGGTTTCCCTGTTAAAGATTTGGTGCAAGGTACCTCCTCGCAATGATTTGTTTGTCTAAATCTCTCCTTTTTCTGTACACTTCTTCAGCTGGTAACTTGCTGCATAGTTATCATCTGGAGTTCGCTATCATGAATTATTGCTTTGAAAATGACTGTTGTGTTTCTTGCACTATTAATAGAGGTAGAATCGTTGACCAAGGCAAGATTACGCCATTAAAACATTGCCAGTAGTAAAGGAGGAGAAATGCCCAGCAATTGTCCTTGAAAAGAGCACACTTTGTTGGCAAACTATCAGAGTTTTCCATTGAACTTCTGTTGCAGTCTTGCTAAGTTTTCTCAGGAAAAAGTAGCTTGCTTAGTCATCCAGTTCCTTTACAAGTGCTGGTTGAATGCACAACACCCAGAACTGAAAACTAATGTCTCATCACAGATCAAATTATATAGGAATGGCTGGGTGCAGGCTTTGCAGCTGCCGAGTATCTTGAAGTTGGCAAGCTGCACTGCTCTGCCTTTTCTTCCCCCTTGTCCGTACAATGAACTGGCACCTTTCAGTTCTACGTCCTTTATTCAGAGAGATCATTAGTTCTGCTGAGGCAAATCACACAAGTGTGCTATTCTTAACTTCCATGAGGCTAACACAAATGTGAAAGTTTGGTTTGCTGTACTGCTTTTCAGGAAAACATTGAAGTCAAATACTCTGAAAAACCAAAAAACAAAACAGAGAAGATAGAGCCAGAGCCTAATCCTTGAGCCATGAAGAGATCAGGCATATATTTTTTCCACGGATGCTTCTTACCGGAGGGAGTGGTCTATTACACCCTTGACTTGGAGCATTTCAGTTTTGCTGTTAATACCTGCAGGGTTTTTCCCCTGGCTAATAATTTTCCTTAGAGAGAGAAAATTAGTCTCCAAACTTCCTGGGAAGCACTGCCTTTCCTTTAACAAAAATTTAGGCAAATAATTTCTTAACCTTTATTAAATATTTTTAATTGCAGTTCCAAATACAAATGAATCTATGTATACCACCATCCTGGCCATTCTTACTGCAGTGGCTGTATTTGTTCTCATCCTGCTGACCTTCTTCTTGCACTTCTGTATATGGTCACTGAAGAAAGAAAAATACCACATAGCTGACAGTAAGTGTATCTTTGTGGACTTCTCTGTGGTTGTACAGTGGAGAGAGACTGTCTCCCTTTCTCCAGACTCAGAATGGAATAAATTTAGTATATGATTTTGAGCTGGTTGCTTAGTTTCACTAAAATGCAGTGCCCCACCTGTATTTTTGCCTCTTCCTCAGACAGAGGCTGTATTGCTAAAGATAATGGGCAGCTAATTGACATCTGTGAAGACCTTGTGCGTGCAGTGCTTTTGCTTGTTCTCACTACAGATCTAGAACATAACTTCCCTTGGCTGTCACTGGCTCCACAACCACCACACCACAGAGAAGAGACTTACAGCTGCCAGTTCCCAGAGGAAGAACATGGAGACAAAACACCTGAAGAAAAGCCTTGCTACCTTCACCCTCAGAGTCTACACTGAAAACAGATGAATTGCAAAGTACTGTGAGGAGGAGGAGCTGAGCTCTGCTTTTCAAAAAAAAAAAAAAAAAAAAGGGAGGGACTGGGTGCATAAAGCATCATTATATACAGAGCAGTAAGGAATGGGTCTTTGGGGAGTTTTGCTTTGTTTCTTCTCAAAAAAACCCTAGCATTTCGAAACAGAGGAACTACTAACTCAGGCTGACATTCAGTTCAGCGACATTGCTTTATTGCAAGTTTCCTGTTTTTTTCTGTTGATGCTCTTTTCAGCTTGGGACTTTTGTTCTAATTATTCCCCTTTGCATCTTCTGCACACATCTCTGTGGTGCTCCTACAGACTGACATGTGGGTAGAAGCCCAGGGTGCCACCATCAATCCCTTCAGTGTTACAGAAAATATGATAATACTGATAGGACACTCACAGTTTTCATAAGCTGTCCATAGTGCCAAAATGTGTACCTAACAGTCATATATTAGGGGAATGAGATATTGTGCCTAGCAAGCATTTCTACTACTCTGCTGTAAGCAGACAGTGCATTTCCCTAATAAGAAATTGCCCCCTTTGTTATACAGCAAAGGGCCATTACACTTAATCCGTGAAATATTTTCAGGTGATAGAAGGTGTTGGATGAGCCAGTCTCAGTGCACAGAGGTGCCAGTGTGAGATTGCTATGGCACATCATTTGTGCTTGCAGAGACTTGCTGATGATGCAGGTTCCATGATTCCCTCCAGGGAAACTGGGGAGAGAAGGGAATAACATTTATCTTCCCTTTCTTCCATAACTCGGCAATCTTTGGAGCCTAGAATACTGAATTAAAAGGACTTCCGAAAGACTCAACTGAGGACCATGCTGTCTAGAGAAATATATTTGGTTTAATGAGCCCTTCCTTCTGTTTTCCACTGTCTTTTCCTGCTGTACAGACTAGAAGCCCAAGATTTGTTTTTGATGTTTTTTTTCTCCCTGTCCTAGAAGAAAAAGAACCAGGGCTTCTGTTGGTGTATACCAGCAAAACTTCAACAATTTGATCATCAGCTGAAAGATGTTCCTCTTTCTGAAAATCCAATCATGTAGGATTTTTTTAGTGTTAGATTGATGCTTCCTTCCCCAAGTTCATAGAGCTCTAATATGGCCAGAGTTAATCCTTTTGCCTGACTTGAAAGGGCTAGATTTTCTGATGGACTTAGTTGCTTTCTGTGGGTTGACACTGATTTCAGATAAGAACCCAGTTTGTGGCTTCAACTAGTTAAAACTCAAGTCTTTTTTTTATGTCTGTGTTATGTGATTGCAATAACAGATTCAAAGCCCTGGCTGCCCTCTGGTTGTGCCTTCTGGTGAAAGCTGCTTGGAGTAGATTCTCTTATGACTAAATCAACTCTGAGGAAAAATGAGTTTTGGGTCAACCTTCATGTGAAAAGTTAGGAATACCACACACTGTAGCCAGTATGTCAGCTTCCTTATGATTCCTTGCAGAGAACATGAAGAGGACAGGGCTTCTAAATTGAATCCTAACAGATTAATGAAAGTTCTGTTAATCACCTTGAGTAAATACTCAAAGGGGATTATTCCAAGTCTGAATGACACGCTATTATAATTAGGACTGTGTTAAATTAGAATGGATGTGAAGCAGAAGGTGTTGCATGCACAAATGTGTGTTGTAAAAGCACTTGAATAGAGAATCCTAAAAAGTGGGACAAGCTATTAACCTTGGAAAGCCAGTCACACAACCCCTCTGCTCCAAGGAAGGCTCAGCTAGGCCAGATCCCAGAATCACAGAATGGTTGAGGTTGGAAGGGACCTCTGGAGATCATCTAGTCCAACCTCCCTGCTCAAGCAGGGTCCTCTAGAGCATATTTCCCAGGATCGTGTCCGGACGGGTTTTGAATATCTCCAGCGAAGGAGACTGCGCAACGTCTCTGGGCAACCTGTTCCAGTGCTCTGAACAGGCTCTGATATCCATCTGCCTATTAGACTTTCATTGGGATGACTCCATGACCTCTAGGCAATCCAATCCAGTGACTGATTTCAAGGTAGACATCAGAGAAGGAGAGAGATTATGTTACTTAATGCTTATGTTGTCTGTCTTGATCATGAGGAAGAATTGAGTTCATTATGCTCTATAGCATCTTTATAAGTATTTTAAAACTATCATCTCTCCTTGGTCTCTGCAGGCTCTTATCCTTCCTCATAGATTATGTTTTCTAGACTTCTTACTATCTCTCTCTAGACTCTCTCCAGTTGGTCTTTCTTGAAACCTTCTCCAGAGGAGTCTTGGCAAGCTGAAAAAAGCTGAAGGATTAATTTTATAATTCATGGACATGCTTTTATTGCTGAACGTTTCATCAATGATTTTGGGAATGAGTAATCCACTGGGGTCCTAATTATCTTGTCAACAGGAGTTATCCTGTCTTTTCTGTTTTTTGCTTTTTTATGCATTATTTAATCTTATAGCTAGGTGAAATAATTGTAAAAGAAAATGAAGTGCAAAAAATTAGCCTTGTCCACTATACTGCATTCCTCCGTAGTCCTAGTTTTAATCTTCCAGCTGCCCTGGTATTGGATTTAGTGCAATCAAAATCCTTATACCTTAGCTTCCCCTCCATGTAAAATTAGAATAGCGATACTTCCCAACCCCAAAAGTATGTTGTGAGACATAGTTAGTACTTGTGATGTATTTTTGCCTTCTTTGATCCTATTACTGTTAATTCTTGTGTTGCTGATAATTTTTCCCACAGGTATCCCTGTGTGAAATTCATCTGAAAAGAGAGAGAGAGGTTTTTTTCCCGCTGCTTTGAGAAATATATGGATTCTTACCTGAGGTGAACTGGAGATTCAGCCAAAGAAAGTGAAGTGGTTTGGATCGGATTAAATAGGATAACTGGGTTTGAAGTAAAAGGCTGGCTCTGCCTTGTAAGCAGTTACACTGTGGGTTTTAATATGCTCAGTAGTCTACATGCCTGCCTGTCAAGGCTGTTCTTACTGCTTATTCTATGTTGGCCATGTTTATTCTCTGCACTTTATGGACCTTTTGTCTTTTTACGAACTGTGTTTTTCAGCAAGATTTATTACTGTGGCCTTTTGTAAAGGCAAAATAAACTTGAGATTTGAATTATGTGCCTTTGTGATGCAGTTAAGCAAAGGTTTGGAGGTCTTGTTCTGGAAGAATTTTATCCTTTGGGTTGTCCCAGTGTCTTGACTACAGTTCAGTTTTACTTTCCCAATTCACTTCCCTTCTCTTACAGAACTCTGGCTATTTCAGCAGTGTACCCTCAAACTCTTCTACCATTGCATTTTAAATGGTCCATTTGCACCTTTTCTCCTTTTTAAGCAAGTGGCTTAAAATTTCCTTGCTGCTGCTCAACTGTCTTTTCAGCTACCCACTACCAAAATAGCAGGAAACTGTGGCTGACAATGTTTTCCATTCCTGACAATGGCCGAGAAGCAGCAACGTTTTGGGCAGAAAATTCTAACAGAAGTTACTATTTGAGGGATGAAGGATTCGAGTGTCTAATAGAAGTCTTATGTATCAGAGGATGCAACTGACCAGGGTGAGGTATGCAAGACCTTGTAGGCTGCAGGTATTGCACAGCCAACAATGCTGACAGTTAATATCGAAACATGTTGAAGAGAGCCGTATTATTCATGGGAAATTTGCACAGTGGCCTCTTGGGTTTCTGTCTGCCTACCTTGAAGAACAGTTCTGCTTCCTACTTACCTAACCACCTGACTTAAGGCTGCTTATTGATGGGAAAAGCAACCAATTTCCTGTCTTGAAGCTCAGATTCAGAGGGAAAACCCAAAGTGTGAATCATTTAAGCCATGGAGAATTTCAACAAAAGAGCTGTACTTTACATCAAAGAAAATGAAAGCTGTCAGCTCAGAACAGTGAGCTTCTAAGCAAACAAACTTTATGCTTTGGTTTCCATTTAGAAACAACTATAGTGTGGAGTCCCTTCGTTTTTGCAATATCTGAATCAGATCGTGGCTCAATTTTCAGCTCAAATCCCAGAGTTTTGGGGATTTTCAAGTTCTGATTTAACTTCAGCTTGATCTCTGTATATGGACTCTAGATTAAAAAGATTTTTTTCCTTAAATCATTAACATCCAGTGAAATGTCTATAGCAATATTTTTCTTTTTTGCTTGAATCCCTTTTCAAAAGTGAAAATACAGTATCCTTGAATAATATCCTGAAGTTTTTAGAGGCTATGTGATCAAGTGAATTTAGATACATATGATTTTGCTAAAATATTGTCATGAATAAATAGTTAAAATATGACATACAGTGAAATCTAAAAAATAAGTTCCTTGATAGTGGTAACAAAAAAGGTGAATATGCAGGCTCCAAAGCCACAGCATCAAATTATGGCTTAACAAGATACCTAAGTCTTTTGCCCTGTGTAGGTTGAATGGTATTTTTTGTGTTTACAGACAAAAAGTGCAACACGCTGATGCCGAAGAAATGTGTTCTATTACAGAAATCTGACAAAAAAGAGTTCTTGAGCAGCCAGTGATGATTAAAGGCTTGTTGCCATTTAGTGGGAGTCTTTCCTAGATATGCATTTTATCATGCCTATCTGGAGAGCATTTGCCCTCATCAGCAATCTTATTGCTGTCCCTGACTTGACACACTTGAATCCACCCAAGGGGTGAGGATGTGGACATCAGAGCAGGAAACGAGAGCTAGACTTGCTGCTGCAGCACCAGCCACAAATGCTAGGCAGCCAAGGACAGAGGTAACTGCTACTCTAAGGGCTGTGGCTGTTCCCCACAGCAGATGTGGGCTGGCCAGCCTGGGTGCTGCAACCCGTTTAAAGCTGCCTGCTTATCAGGTGAGTGATGATGAGTCTCAGCTGTGCAGCAGTTGGGGGTAGCTGGTGTTGTGAAGCCCCACTGGCAGTACGTGCTTCTGGCTGTAAGAGAAGCAACTCTCAGGTAATGTTTTGGGGTTATATCTGGTGGTGGTATCTCTGCAAGAGTCTGTCTGTAAGAATGGGTGAAATCTTCTCAGCCCTTCTGCTCTTGGACTCAGAGGGTGCTGCTTACAAATGCAATATGCATTTCACAGGTTTTGCTTGGCTGTTAACCTGTGTTGTACAGCCAGTGCTGCTGCCTGGGCCTTTGCTTGTTGAGGAAGTGGTAGATAAAATCAGTGTTTCACACAAATGCTGTGTGCTGCCACAGTCCAGACTAGGCACGAGCGAGGACTCTGAAAAAGCAGACAGCACTTAACTGAGAACTTTCTGGAGCAATCCTGTTCATAAAATATATGTGGAAAAGGTCTCCTTTATGTTGGAAAATGTGGGTTTTTTTCGCCCTCCTCTCCCTTCTATCTGAGACAGCATCACAAGCTGCTCAGGGAGTAGGAGGGAGTTCCAAACCTGGTCAGTTGGCTTCTAAAGAGCCAACCATTTTAGCATCTGAGCTTTAATACGGCTTGGAACAGAAGTGTCAGTATGTGTGACACCGTTAGAAGATTTTAAAAGACTACTAACATAACATAGTTGGTGATTTCTTAGAACCTGACATCATACAGCAGCGCCTGCGTCTCCCTTCCCTTTTCCTGTAAAAAGAGAAATGACTGCCATGTTGAGAATTGAAACCATGACCTTCAGGACAGAGAAGCTGGGTTTCTCTGAGTTCTGGGAACTTCTAGTGCTCTGGTGGAAAAGTTAGGACCAAATTCAGCAATTTTCCTCTGAATAATGTGTATTAATTTCATGATGCTAGGGAAAGTGTTGCCACTTGTTGCCTAATCCAGATTCATGTTCCTGAAGTTTGACTTCCAAACTGGAAAAGTATGTCTGAAAAATTTCAGGGTGGGGAAATGGCTTTGAGCACCGAGCGGAGAAGAGTGATCTTCCCATCTCTCTTTTCTCGTACCTTATTCAAGAGCTTAACGGAAAATGTTGTTCTGGGTACAATTCTTCAGAGTTTTCTCTGTAAATTTTTAAGATTCTGACCTGTTAAAATAAAGAAGTTCTAAACTTTGTTAAAAATAAAGTCTGATACTTAGAAATGGCTTGCTGCTGATAATCAGATAAAGTCCTTCCTACACAGTTTTAGGAAATGCAGGGTAACAGGAGAACAAGGTAAAAATACCCTTTTATATAGTCATTCAGTTAATCACGAGCTGCTGTATATATATCACGCTCTCCACAATATTTGACAATAAATAATTATTGGGTGTTTGGGGCCCAGTTGAACGCTGGTAACTTCTTAATACTTTGGCTGCAAAAAATAGTAAAAGAGTAACAGGGTGGAAGAGATGCGTGAGGTACAGAAACAGCCTTTCTCATACTAGTGGTTTTGCTTGAACAGAGAGTAACTAGGGAACTGTGCACGCAGTGTTTTGTTATGCTAACACATCTGTTCACCTACCAAGGACCGATTAAAGGAAAGCGATTTCCTGCAAATTGATAAAGTTTTAAAACTGGAGAATGTAAAAAAATATTTCCACAAGACCTCCCCTTAAATTTTTTTTGTCTCCTTTCCCAAGGAAAGGAAGATTGTGCAATTGTGTGATTATATATCTGTCTTTCAACTTTTGAACTCATCGCCCAGTTTTGGCCCAGCTCGGCAGAGGTGCGAAGGTGTTCAGTTCTTACAAGCACCAGGAAACGAGAGTCATGAATTCTATTGCTCATGGACATACTTTTTTTTGATTTCCTTCTGAAGTTGTTAAAACATCTTGTTTTTCAATATACCCATCTCCCCATTTTCTGGATTACAGGTGGCCCGTGTACAGTGCATAGAGGAAAAATTTGACTAAAACAGGAATCAGGAGGTCACACAAAGCCTGTTCGGGTGACTTTGCAGACGTACTATGGACGCAGCCTCGATTATTAGCCTGCAGGTAACTGAGAACTGTATATACCAAATGAAAGGCTTGATTGCATTGGTGTAGCAATGCTTCATTTTATGTGCTGTGTTTATGTAGAATGGGGAAAGATTCTTAAGTTATTCAAAATCCAAATGAAATATTTTGTGATTGTGAAAATGAGTAGATTTGATTCAAACTGGAGGTGTTCAGGTTGTTTTTTCTTAGCAGATGGAGGACAGCAAAGAGAATACAGGGGAAAAGTTTTTGATCTGTGAAAACTTCCAGGGTTAACTTTTCCCCTTGATTTGGGCTAGGAAGAAAAGCTATAGAAAAGGGGCTATTCACAGTCAGGAACTGCACTGTCCCTGCAACTTCAAAGAAAGAGAAAGGCTTCCCAAGCTCTATGTGCAAACAAACACAGTTACCTGATTCAGGCTAGAAAGTTGTTAAACATGAATGCTGCTTTCTGCACATAACTTAGGGTCAGGCTAAAGGGTTTTATTTGTAATATTTATACAATATTTTACAATATTTCTCTTTGTGAGAAGAATCAGGCAGTAAATATAGTAGGCAGATTGGGAAAAATTTCTCCTTAAGGCATTTGTACAGCTGAGGTCAAAACCACAAAATTCTACATCAATTGCGAAGGCCCATTCAGCACAGCTGTCAGTGGAGAATGGTTCCAATTTGCCAATAAGGGACTCATTCTTGTAGCTTCTTCGCTTTGTGTTGGTGTTCTGTTTGACATACCCTTCGTGTTGTCGCTCTGTGCTATTGTCCTACTTCTGATGTCGCCAGGATTTCTTAGGGATGATAGGTGGTGGCTGGAGAGTCAGAGGATGAAGGTTTTGCTCTGGCTGAAACACATTTTCAGCACATGAGCATAGTAACTCTGCCAAGAATTTTACATGCCAGATAAACATAGCCATGCTCAACTAAAGAACAGCAATGTTGATTAATAAATAGTCAGAGCCCAGCATCTCTTCTGCTTTTAAAACATCCAATCCCGATTCCCCTTCCCTCTTCTCTGAGTCCCGATAGTGTTATACATAAGCCTCTGTGCTGAGTGTGCTGCATATCTTGGCCAAGGGAAGATGATTGGCTCTGCAAGCTAGGACCTGGATAAGGTTCTACTTTGAAGGAGGCTAACTCCACTTTGCAGGGATATGAGAAGATCCAGGGAATCAGATCATAAACTGGTAGTATGATCACTTGTATTTTAAAGTGTAGTTTGATAATGTGTCTCTCCAGCTTCAGGAAATAGGACAAACTGCC